TCAGCAATAGAGCAACGTGCGTATATTCGCATCGAAACAGTGCCCAAAATTCATGCCGCGTTAAAAGAAGTGTCTGGAAGGTTTACTGTGAATCGTGGCACACGAAGTTTCGAGAAGGTCGAACAAGCATCGAAGACTGTAACAGATGACAACACAAACACTTCAATCACTGCAATGTTGCTCGACCAAGACTGGAGAATCACGGTAAGAGAAATTGAGGCGGACACAGGTATCTCGAAAATGAGCGTACATCGTATTTTAACACAGGTGCTAGGAAAACGAAGGTGGCGGCATCGGTGCACCGATCATCAAACTTTCAAAAAATACGGCTGGGAACAGCTCCGCCACCCAACTTCGATCTCTTCCCCAAGCTGAAGGAACCCCTTCAGGGAATGCGTTTTCTGACGCTGGGAGAGAAGTGATCCAACAGATTCAGATGCTCAATAAGAAGGGGATGCTGAATGGTATCAAAGCACTTCCGTGCCGCTGGCAAGCGTGCATTGATAAGGGGGGGATTATTTTGAAGGCCTGTAATCACTTGATCTTCTTCAATAAATATTTTTCAAGTTAGAGCCAACTATGTGCATTACTTTTGAGACAATCCTCGTATTATTATTTTGTTAATTAAATACAAGAGTATTTTAAACTACATTAAAAGTAGAAAGTGTGTAAAATACCCTTACCACATCTACCTTTTTTATGCAAGTTAATGTTTTCATTCGCAGTGTGTAGCTTTTATTATATCTCATTCTACTATATTCACATCCTGTATTTATCATTGGAATGTGTATTATGTATGTTAATCCATTTCTGCTTTTTGTGCACATACAATTTATTCTATGAGAAATACTGGCAAAGCAATCACTTGGAATCTTTTTCACTTGCTGTGAAAAAATTTTTATCTATATAATTAACAAAAATTCATTTGAATACAAGTAAACGATTCATTACAAGAATTTGAATTTAAATTTTAATGTTGAAGATAAGTGAAAAGTAAATTGTTACCAGAGCCTCTTCAGCCATCGGTCATATCGACCGATGTTACCGCTTCCCGGGACGTGGACCCAGAGGTTGGATTTTGGGAAGCATGTTCGTGTTGTGAAACGGTGTTGTTTATAATGCACGTGAATGGAATGGTTGGTGATTGGANTAAGTTTATCTGTACATTTTTTATATTCCTTGCAGAAATTATCACATTAAGTAATTCTTATCATTTACGTGATTTTAAATAACTGAATCGGAAGGCGAGATATTTCATGCAAAAGCCCACTGTACACCTATGTAACTTACTGTGTATTTGCATTTTAATTGTTGAATGATGTCAGTTTTTTATAGATGACATCATTGCTTATAACATCAAAGTTGACGGCAATTTTTCCTCTGCAGCGATTTTGCTAAATTGTACGATAATAGGCCTACAGTAACATAACTGGACTGTCTATTTTCATGCCGTCCTTATCCCGAACAGTTTGTAATTTATAATGCCAAACAGACCACGATGAGAAGCAGCCCCCCAAAAAAGAAAACTAGAAGAACCTTTCAATGTAGAAATGCCATATATCATGTTTCGATATACATGATATATTTTTTTATCAATGTGTTTAAATGTTTAAAAAATTGTTTCAATTTAATACAATTATATTAAAACCCCAGATTTTAATTTAAAAAATCTGACACTTATTGCATTTGATTTGTTTTTTTGCTATTATTCCTTTCTTTAAATTACTATCCATTCACGTTTCCCACTAAATAAAATCATAATTTACGTTTTAAGATAATAAAATAAAGACAAAAAGATGATAAAATATTCATTTCGTTGCATTTTTGCAAGTTTTGTTAGACTTTACATAGTCTGCTTGTTAGTGTTCTCCTCGAACCGCTAGATGTCACTAGTTCACACTGTCTCCACTACGGTACGTACGGTTCATGCTAATTCACGAGAGTTTCTGCTATGGTCGTATAAGCTATTTGGAGAACACGAACGTGTAGACTTTGAGCAAGCGTTAATGTCAGTTTCTTTCGCACTATGGCACATATGCAACGTCAGTCTTTTCGCCCCGAGGAGTAAAACTAGCGCGTTTATCATTGTTTATCATTCTATTAACGTCGTTATACGTTAAATAGAAAGTAGTAAGTGTGGTTTAAAATATAGTCATAGACAAAGTTTAATCAGGCATATTATGAAAGTGTAAGTTCGCTGACCTGGTGGAGATTGGAGACTTAAAATCCCACTCCTCGGACACCAATGTAAGTTTTCCGATTTCCAGGGGAAATCGTTAATTCCGCGTCAGGATGATCTAGGGTCGTTCGCGTGTGGGTGTGACAGAGGAGACACAGATGACAAGAATCTCACATAAACCCGTTTATTTTAAACATAAAAGTAAACTTACACTAAGGAACAAAAATGTTCTTTATACAATTTGAGGTTCGAATTGTCGATGGTGTTTCTAATGTTGCTCGAAGGAAGGCCCCAGGGCAACGGCAGGTGAGGAGATTCGTCAGTCGGTGTCGGCGGTCTGAGTCCGTAGTCACAGGTTACAAGTTGGGCACAACCGACGGAAAACTGCTCTTTCGCGTTGACTAACCGTGTGCAGGTGCACATTTTTCGGAAAGTCCAAGTCCTTGAAGATCGGGGATTATATCAATCTCCGTTCTTTGTTTTGTTTTCTTCTGATTGGCTCCACGTCCCCTTTTTCTCGCTCCCCGATTGGTCTCTCGTCTGTCTCTAAGTGAAAGACGATTCCTGTTCGAGTCACCAGAAAGATCCGCTTCGAAGAATCTACTTGACACCATCCGTTACTCTGGATGCAAAATGTTGATGGAACTTTGAAACTTGCACTCATATTTTCCACCATTGTTGTCTAGTCTGTGACGTTTTTGAAATTTAACGACACGACGCGATGTCCCTTTTCATCATTAACCTTTCCTCTTTTCAAAATTTCTATGTTCTAATTATTTGCATATGAGCGACTTGTCAAAGGTCCATCTACTGGAGGTCGTTCGTTTACCATTATTAATCATTTCTAATTATTGCGTTCTGTTTACATCAATAGAGTTTTTTCTCTCGTCGCGGTTTCATATGACTAGAACAACTAATTCAATCTTTGATCGGTTTTTAACGATAGACGATTTTTTTCTAGTTTCGTTTTAATAGCATCAATGCCTGTTATACACAAGCTACCGTATCAAAGTTTATTTCTTAATCATTTCCTCATCCCGAGATATTAACTCTTAGACATCCTATTGTCCCCTTGTTATAGTTTGTGGATAAGAGGCATTGATGTTATTAAACCTTGGTGGTTTTGAGTCGCTACCAAGGATGCGAACAAGCTTCCTTGGTAGCGACTCGAACGAAATTTTGCTAATAAAATGGCGTGTTGTGAGAGAAGCCAAATTTTAAAGTTCTTAGAACGGGAGATTTCGGAGGTCAAAGATCGTCTACCCAACATTCGAAATACGGCCAAGTTCTTCTTGCCAGATTTTTTAAAATACCTTTTTTTTTTTTCTCGAAAATTTTACCCAGTATATCTTAACGTATTATACTTTGCACAGAAATTCTTCTCAAAAAACAATAACGACAATACGTCGAATTTCGGATTCCCGTTATAAGTCTATGTAAAAACTTCCATTTAAGTTCTATTAATTACGAGGGTTGTCCCAAAAGTAATGCACAGCGGGTATTGTAGGCAACGTAGACAGTGTGTAGATTGAAGTCTTACGAACACGTTGGTATCATATGGTAGTGGGATTCGTTTAAAGGGAAAATGCCAAAAATTCGAAAAAACAACGACCAAGACTGGAGAATCACGGTAAGAGAAATTGAGGCGGACACAGGAATCTCGAAAACGAGCGCACATCGTATTTTAACACAGGTGCTAGGCAAAAGAAGGTGGCGGCATCAGTGCACCGATCATCAAACTTTCAAAAAATACGGTTGGGAACAGCTCCGCCACCCGACTTCGATCTCTTTCCCAAGCTGAAGGAACCCCTTCGGGGAGTGCGTTTTCCGACTCTGGGAGAGAAGTGATTCCACAGATTCGGATGCTCAATAAGAAGGGGTCGCTGAACGGAATCCAAGCACTTCCGCGCCGCTGGCAAGCGTGCATTGATAAGGGAGGAGATTAATTTGAAGGCCTGTAATCACTTGTATCTTCTTCAATAAATATTTTTCTAGTTAGAGCCAACCGTGTGCATTACTTTTGGGACAACCCTCGTATTATTATTTTGTTAATTAAATACAGGAGTATTTTAAACTACATTAAAAGTAGCGTGTGTAAAATACCCTTACCACGTCTACCTTTTTTATGCAAGTTAATGTTTTCATTCGCAGTGTGTACCTTTTATTATAATCTCATTCTACTATATTCACATTCTGTATTTATCATTGGAATGTGTATTACGTATGTTAATCCATTTCTGCTTTTTGTGCACATACAATTTATTCTATGAGAAATACTGGTAAAGCAATCATTTGGAATCTTTTTCACTTGCAGTGAAAATATTTTTATCTATATAATTAACAAAAATTCATTTGAATACAAGTAAACGAATCATTACAAGAATTTGAATTTAAATTTTAATGGCGAAGATAAGTGAAAAGTAAATTGTTACCAGAGCCTCTTCAGCCATCGGTCGTATCGACCGATGTTACCGCTTCCCGGGACGTGGACCCAGAGGTTGGATTTTGGGAAGCGTGTTCGTGTTGTGAAACGGTGTTGTTTATAATGCACGTGAATGGAATGGTTGGTGATTGGATGCGACGAATGTGTCGTTGTTTGAACTGTGTGTTTCAGCGTGAGGGATGTTGTTGTTTATGTGCGTGGATGTGACTTACTAAACTAATGTGAGTACGACAAGGGGAAAAAAAATAAAAACCCCTTGTCTTCTTACATCTAGATTAGTAAATTAAATTTAAGGTTTTAGTTTGAATGTTAGTATGACAAGAGGAAAAAAAAATAAAAAACCTCTTGCCTTCTTATCCTAAATTAGTAAATATAAGTATGACAAGAGGAAAAAACAAACGAAAAAAACCTCTTGCCTTCTTATCCTACGTTAGTAAATTGAAACTAAAACCTTAAATTTAAATGTTGTTAGTATGACAAGAGGAAAAAACAAACGAAAAAAACCTCTTGCCTTCTTATCCTAGGTTAGTAATATCCTTCAGAAATAGCAAAGGAAAAAGTCGTTCACTTCTCTTACGAAGCGACGCTTTTTCCTTTCCATCTTTGCCCACACCGAACGAGAGGATCCCACTCGTTGGAAAAGGGAGGAATGATCGAAACATTCCTCCCCTCCCAGTGCGTCAAAGATGATGTCGTCAACATGGAGACATTTCACCTTTCGGAACACGTCCGAATGGCGAAATGTCTCCTCTCCGTTCAACGCGGAACAGAGAATGCTGTCGACATCCGCTATTCCCGAAGGCGATCCCGTGAAGGAAGAACCCCTTCCGCAATCGATGGAAGAGAGTTCCTCTCCCCGCTCAAAGGGGGAAAAGACCCTCTCTTCATCGATTGCGGAAGGAGAACGCCCTTCACACTTCTTCATCTTCTTGGGCCGCAGCCAACGCCAAAACCGCCAGCTCTTCATTCTGTAAAGAAACAAAAATATATATATATATTAATGGGATGCGGATATACTTAACGCAGAAAAAGTACAAGATAATACTCACGACAGAGCTCGCGCTAGATCCTACCGGAAATTGCTAGAACGTTCGAACTGCATTTGCAGTAGAGACGACCCACCCGGAACGAATAAACTCTCTTACGTGTAATTTGTATTTATTTGTACGACAGAAAAGTAAACACACGCAGCACGTAACCATGCGCAAAAGGCACTCGTACTCGATCTCGAATCAAAGTCGTAACAAGTGTTTCGTTCTAGAACAATTTACCCTAGCGTGCGTCACCTAACCGCAACGACTGCATTTAAGAGAGTTTCGTGCGAAGAAATTCCGTACGAGAGTCGACGAAAACACAAGACGTGCCCGCAGCCGGGACACGAACGTTTAAGTGGCACAAAGCATTTGCAGAGTGTTACGTAAGTGTAAGTGTGAAAGATGGACTGCACTCAGAAAAGATCGCATTGTGAAAAGAGACAAACAGCTTAAGGAAAAGAATTCTTTGTGTCCATCCTGTATAGATAACTGTTAAGTGTATTAGATGTGTTTTAAGTGGTACAGAACTGCAGACAATTTAATTCTCGCAAAGTAAGCCATTGAAAAGCGTTGTAACTAATACATAGATTCAATGAAGAAGGCGGAGGTTAAAGGGCGAAATTTTTGACGTCCCGGATGTGTCGAAGGAACGTGTCATGCTTCAGAATACGGTCTCCGTTTATCCTTCGGTCCATCCGGTTCCGAGTGTATATATTTTAGTTAAAATTACGATACGCAATTCGTATTTAGAGTTAGTATTAAATAAGTTTTAACTGAATTTCTATAAATAAGATATTTTCAAATAATCCTTATTCTTCGACCGTGCTTATAAAATATAATCTAGATTAATTACGAAAATAAACCAATGAACAAATACTTAATCCTTTGCGTCCGTCGTTTTCGGCGCTTCGGTCGCTTTCCAATGTGGCGGCTCATTTAAAAGTCGAAAGAGGTACGTTTCGGATGGTAATTCAAACGAAAAACACAAGCGACGGCAGATTTAAACGCAAATATACAAAGTCCGAGTCGGCCGATGTCGTCTCCGAAAGTTGGACTAAACGAAACGAAAATAAAATCTTACAACTAGCTAAATTCTAATTAAAATCTTACTTGGTGTAATGTCGGCGTCCACAAGTCTTCTTAAAACCACGTTCGGGTAGCAAAAACACTGAAAAAAGGTAAAAAACACAGCAGAAACAAGAGCAAAGAGCGTACACGTCCGTCCAGCAAGCGAAAAACGTGCAAAGTGACGCAAAATCGTGTTGCAACAATACGCGTTTCCATAGAAACGGCAATTGTTGCGAGATTAGAAAGCTCGCAACGAATTCGAATGCGATTGACGTCATGGATTCTTTTTGAATTTTAAGGCTAAATATCTGCATTTTTCACGTTTCTATCCCCCGAGTGACGACGGATTGGGATCGAGACTCTCCCTACCGCCCTCCGCCTTCGGTTTCCATTCTCCACCAGGGGTTAGAAGCGAGATTTTCTAAAATCGAACGTCATCTTTACCTCGCCACCCCCAAAACTAGAAGAAATCCTCCCTCTCGTTCGTCCGGTATTTTCCGACCAAGTTTCCGATTGACCGACAGCGCAATTTTTACTGAATTTCTTAATATTTCGTTTATCCGACGCCATTTTAAGAGCGCTTACCTGACGTCATCGGTTATATTAAATATGCGTGTTATAGTTTAGTTACGTAAACGTTAATTAGTATATTAAATAAGCAAATTTTATGAATTCACCTGACCGATAGAAAATATCGTGTATGTATTTTACACGAAACAATCAAATATAGATCTTTCTATATTCAAACTGAAAAGAAGATCGTTCGTTTCAAGAAATGTAACTGTTTTTTATTTAAAAAAATCTATCAATAGCAACGAGTTGCGTAACTTTCTCGGCTGTTGTGAGATTTTATTTAGAAAATAACTTTTATACTTTTAATTATGTTATAATAAATAAAATTGTGTGTGGCGCCATCTGTTATGAGATTTTGCTATATAAACTTTTCATATTTTTAATTATTATAAAACCGCAAAAGGATTAATTTTAAGTAGAGAAACGAGTCTTATAAAACAAAATTACAAATGCTAGTAACGAGTAAAATCTTCATTAACCCGATCCTCTTGAAATATCACACGTGACTCCGTTCTATCTCCCTACCCTCTTGACCTTTAACCACCAAAGTTTAATAAATTTCTAATAATAAATGTTTAATTTCAACTCATTTTTGGAACCTCACACAAGCAAGCACATAAAAGACGACAACAGTAGTTAGAAAAATGTTAAAGTATTTAAGTGCAGGTTGTGTTTACCTACGTACCACAAAAAAGAAGAGTTTTTATAATATTAATGCTCCCAAAATCAGTATATAGCGATGCCACGAATAGTGATTTTGCCGAATACCGAATATTGGTTACGCTTTCGGCCGAAGCGTCGAATATTCGGCAAAATATGTGTACATTTCGCGGGTGACAAGTTACGACCTGTCTCATTACGATGGGTGCGGTAGCAACAGTGCGGGCACATTTTGTTTTATTTGCGAGTAGATCGTGTCACAACATGCATTATTTGTTCATTGTTACATCAAATTGTGTTACTAATAGTCCTTATTACTAAAAAATTTCACTGTTTGTATTACTTTATATGAAAACTGTTCCCCTAGATAGAACGGCAGATCTTTACAAGTGGTGGTCAGCAAACGCAAAACAGTATCCAAGTCTGACTGAATTTGCTAAGATTTATCTATCGTCTCCAAGCAGTAGTTTTTTTAAACTCTTTCCACCCTGTGGGCACTAAGAAGGCCTCTTTTTGCAAGCCCATTATGGGTTCGACCAGGCCCACAATGGGGCTGCTGGGTGGTGAAGGACGGGGCCCGACATATACGAACGGACCACCCCCGAAAAACTCCTGGGGATTTTTCGACCCGTTCAGATTCGAACCCGGATCCCCCAGAGCGGTAGGCTGCCACCTTGACCGCTCGGCCATCCGGTCGCCTCCCAGCAGTAGTGTATATAGTGAGAGGCTATTTTCAGAAGCAGGTATAGTTTATGCGGAAAAGCGCAATCGTTTGCTATCAACAAATGCTGAAAAAATTGTTTTAATTAATCACAACTTACCACTGATAGATTTTAAGTATTAAATGTAAAATGTATTTGTGATTAAAAGTACTTTTTGAGTAATATGTGCGTTTTTTTTCATGATTTGGTATTCGGTATTCGGCCGAATAGTGTGCAACATTCGGTCGAATACCGAATATTAAAAAAAGTAGCCGAATAGGCCGAATACGAATAGTAGCCGAATATTCGTGGCATCTCTAATATATATATTGTTCTAGCAGAGCTGTATATGCCTACGTAGCATATATAATTAATTAAGCAATCTTATGCTTACTTCTAACAACACGAAAAGAGGCAATAAAGTACAACAAATTTAATTTTACACACTATTTGTATGATGTTAAATACTCCTTTAACAGAAATTCGATTATTTTTTTTCTTCTATATTTTCATTCATCCAGTTACATTCTTTCACAACTGACGATTTTCACTTAGCTTTACTTACAGTATTTTCTAAAATACATTTAAACAATTATCTTATAAAGTTAAAATTTTATATATTAAATATTTGAATTCCTAATCTGATTCATTAAAATTTTAGAGAAGGGAGGTATATAACGAGATACCCTAATTTAACTGGCTCTGGTTTTGTGTGTAATAGATAATTTGTATTTTTACTGTCTCATTTTATGTAAAATATTCTCAATTTTGTTCATATGCAATTATTTCACTGAAATATCTTCAAATACATTAAAATTGTTGAGCTCTTATTAGGCTTCATATAATGGAACATAATGGGATTTCTTCTTGACGCATGAAATATGGAGCGATTTATAATAGAATGGCTACGAATTCTGCTGCTTTAAACCTTTGTTTTGTTTTTACTAGTGTTGAAACGAATAGTATATTCGGCCTCAGGCCGAATACCGAATATTCGGCCAGGAGCGTGGCCGAATAGCCGAATATTCGGCCAAACTATTCGGCTCGATTAACGCACGTACGAAAATTGCGCGCGCAAACCGCATTATGGCAAGGACCCTGCTCTCTATTGGCCCGCTATCACTACGCCTCGCCAATCGCGTTAATTCTTGACAGTTGTAGCAGACAGATAAGAGCGTCATGGCAGTATGTGATATATGATGATATCAAATGTGGATAGCAATGAAATGACCTACACGTGTAAATAACGGAAAAAGAACAGAGAAGGACCGCGAAAATCTGAAAATAAATATGAAATTGTGTTGATAGCATAATCGAACAAGTCGAAGCAGCTTATTGGCGCGAAATTCGCAGCCGTCAATGCCAAACAATTGTTGTCATAGACTTCGGAAAGCTAAATGCTTGTAATAAAAGTCACTTAGCGTGCACGGGCGATAGCCTGGGGCCGTTCGGGCTACCAAGCTGTCTCGAATCTATGAAATCATAACTGTGACTTATACCTACGTCCTATCTGTCTCTTTTCTCCGTTGTCACCAGGCACGTATGAGTTACGTAATTGTAAAATTGGAAATCTAGACGGAAAAGTGACGAATCGAAGTATCGTGAGCGCGTATTATGATGTATGCATATGTGGACTAGAGCGATAGAAGAAAGAGAAAGTGAAGAGCGCTTAAAAAGAATAATAGGCAGGGACAGACCCTCAAATGTGCGACGATTCTCGAACGAATAGGTGTGTGCGTCTGCTGATCTTTGTAATTACAGTCGACCCCCCTATAACGTACGTTCCTATAACGACAATTCCTATAACGTACGTTCCTATAACGACAATTCCTATAACGTAGCGAAAAAATTGTAGCAACTTTCGTATAACGTACCTCCTATAACGTCGTTTCGCGACAAGATTGATAGAGTCTGGACCAATAGTGGATGAGCAGCCGAACTACTTTCCTCCGACCCTGCGCCACGCTACGGAGCGGCTAAATTGAGTTTGCTATCGTCTGTTTAGTATTATATATAAATTATATATAAATTAGGTACTGTACATATAATTATATATTAATTATTTATTGTAACTTTATTATAATTATATATATGCTTTCTGCCGCCTGGCAACACGCTACGGAGATTTTAGGCTAGTAAGTTGAGTTTATTGCAATGTTGCCACGTCTACCGAATTTTCGGTAGATCTACCGATTTTGGGACCGATCTACCGATTGAAGCACCAAATCTACCGAAAAGTTTACGATAATTCAAGAAAGAAATTTTTATTTTCAATGTATCTAAAAATTCTCAATAAAACATTTCTTTATACCTTCATTTCTTATATATTGTAAGAGACTTTATTGCAAAGATTCTGTCTCGTTTTGTTGAGAATATCTTATGTCTGCCCCATTCTTCAGCTAATGGAATAGAAAGAATATTTTCGTGAATAAATCTGTTAAACACGAAACACGGAAATAAACTGACTTGTGAGCTCTGAAACAATCACTGGCTGACTTCTTACTAAACAATTAATTGGATAAAATTACTGTTACGATTTTCCTGTAAAAGATAATTTAATTTCAAAAATAAGAAACAGTGTTAAAAACATACAAACGGAAGATATTGAATAATAATAATTATTATTAATATCCGAAAAATAAAAGATAATACTGTATTTTGTTAGAAAAATAAGACAAAATGTACCTACTTAATTAGTAAATTATTATTTTTTTACGTAAGTGTTCTGTGTTAGTTTTTGTTTTTTATTGTTTTATAGTGTATAATAAAATAAATGACGAAAAAGAATGTTATTGTTTATGTGCAACCTCCTTTCTGCCACAAAAAGTCGATTTACCGAAAAATTACCGAAATCTACCGAAAATTGCCTAATGAATCTACCGATGGCAAGCAAATCGGCGTGGCAACGCTGGTTTATTGTCGTCTGCACAGTATGTAAATTAGGTACCGTAAGTCTAATACAGCACTAATTTTATACATTTCTTGTGAAAGAAACACTTCTTATTCAACGTCCATAAAAATTATTTATATTAATGATGTCTCCAAAGGTCAAGTTATTTTTCCGCCAAAAATTCGTTATCAGAAATTGCGGCCGTCGTTTCGCGTGCTGTTCCGCGATGAAAACCAGCTTTAAGCAACGGCGTAGTCGAACGGTGTAAGTAATCCTACAATTTTTTGTTTATAGCATAGTTTATACAGATTATTCCCAAAAAATTATACGTGTTTTGGAAATGTTGAGTGGAATTAGTCTAGAATCGGTTAATTTTATAGAAGAAAACCTTTCGAACAGCCTTAGTCCGTAAAGTTCCCAACTATCGGGCTGCGATTGGCTCATTCCTACAACGTAATTTTCGGTTAGCGTGGAACGTATCTAAGCGTTATAGGGGGGTCTACTGTATAAATTGCGAATACATGTGACTAATATTATTTTCTTTTTTATTTTGTGCATGTTATAAGTTATAAATAAATATAAACAAACAACACTAACCCGATAACATTAAATTTAAATACCAAAATGATTAATTTACTGTGTTTTTGTTATTTCTTACTCCTGTTTTTAGGTATTCGGTATTCGGCCGAATAGTGATTAAATATTCGGTATTCGGCCGAATAGCGAAAAATAAGCCGAATAGGCCGAATACCGAATAGTAACCGAATATTCGTTACATCACTAGTTTTTACATCTCACGTCATACGTCCAGGAACGGCCCTGTACGAAAGTACGATGTGAGATGTAAAAAAAGCTAAAAATTCGATTTCTCTTTATATAAACTTATGTAATTATGGGTATTAAAAGTTAATATCAAACGTAACTATTATTTAGTTTTTTATGATTTGTTTTACTTAGGTTAAAAGTCAGTAACATCACCTTTTATGTTTTTATTTCTCGAACAGGTTCTTGAAGAAGCTACCGTGAATACATTAAGAAACTGGTTTGTTTTTTCTAGTTGATTTCATTGAAAGACCTTGATTTTGTGGACTTATATAGAAATGACACACCAAAACAACAAGCTTGTATTTTACATTCAGGTTTGTAACTTATTAGTTATTTTATCATATTACTTTGAATGTTGCAATTTTCATAGAAAATTTCAAAATTTATATATAATATACATATATTTTCTAGAATAAGTTTTGTAGTTTTACTGGAAACTTAGGCAAAGATAAATGAACAATTAAATTTGCGTCTGTTAAATTAAACAACCTATATAATCGAAAATGGATTTCATTAATTTGATCGGTAAGAATTTGAAATTTTCCTATTATGTCTAAACGTCAGAGTCTTAATAGAATATATTTTATTAAGATATTAACTATATTTTGTAATATATGTGTAGGTATATTTATATTTCATCAATTTGTGCAAGTATCAGCTGATTCATCTATCATTGATAAATGTAGAGATGTTGTATTTACATGTAACTGTGGAAATCCAGGATATTCATTTCAGGCAGCTTTTAAGCAGTAAGTGCCGTTATTAAATAACGTGAATATGTAATTATAATTATCAATATTAATTTTATAGATATATTCTATTATGTATATCCTGAATATATATTAAGATTGCATAGAACTTATTTTTCGAAATTACAAAAACACCCGGTAATCCGAAATTTTCGATAATCTAACAATTCTGGTGTCGCAAGTGCCGGATTAACGAACGCCTAGTGTATAAGGACATAATTAATTCTTTAATCAATTATATTACATTTTAGTTGTTTATTTTATATAAAAGATGTCATTACTGGATTCCGAGAGAAGAGGCATGTACAAAATTTCAACATTGTTTAGAATGTGATCCAGGTAGCAATACCTGTGCCACTTGCCCGCCAAATCGTTATGGAAGATATTGCACTGGAAGTAAGAAATACTTTAATTTCATTTATAATAGATATAATATATATACCGTATTTATATATTTATAAATTTATAAAATCCGTGTTACATTACCCAGCCTATGACACTCGTCATTATATGGTATAAGCTAATATTTACTTTCATAAATATTTTAAACGCATCTAGTATTTCCATACAATATTTTTAAAATAAATATTTTATGTATTTCATAACATTTCATATACGTATGTAAAATATTTAAAGAAATCGCTTCCTATATATTAATTTTCTGTAATTTGGTATGACATCATAATACACGCCATTATAATTTTATTCACTTCCTTTTACTTGTATTTATCAACGAAATTTATACAGTGGTTTTATTTCCGGAAGCCACGTTCAACGAGAGCTCTGCATTCCGGACATTTTGTTTTGCCCCTCTTCATCGAATTTCTTAAAAGTTTTCCATTTAACAGTTTAACAATTAACAACTTGTGACGGAACTTCTTAAGAAATTGGACTGAAGGAGGACAAAAAATAGCCTAAATGCATATCTGTATATAAAAGATTACCTCTTTTTGAGTGTGATTACCGAAAAAAAGAAAAAAAACTACACAAGTTCATTGAATAATTCCATGAGAGATCTGGGATCAAGTTCTTTCTGGAAACGTGATTTACTCTCTGATATGTTTCGGTTGTAATATGTCGGATCTCAATTTTTAACATCTGGCTGCTTGCTCAGGACCTGGCCAAATATCATAAATCATAAGCATATGCATTATATATTATTAGTGTTCCTTTAATACAGGTGTTTGTACGCATACAGAAAGGCTCTGTAATAAAATCAAATTAAAGTCGCACAAAATTCAACAAAGCAAATTAAATTTTGTGGCCTGTGAAAAGTATAGGACTATAGACATATTTCAAAGTCATTCAAACGAATTAGACTTTGAAATATGTAGATGTCAAGGTTAAAATAATCGAAAAGGTATTGATCTATAAGAGAACTAAGCGATTGTTTAAAATTCTGACTACTAAGAGATACCAAATTGCTCCGAGAATTTACTTTATATAACTGTATTTGTTATAACAATTTATTTCTTGAAAGTTTGTAATTATTAACAAATTTGTAAATAATTTTATAATAAAAGAAAGAAAAATCTTACAATTTTCTGTATTTTATGTACAAAAAGAAATTTATTAACATATGTTTGTTTTTGTCTGTCTAAATTTATAGATAATATAAATTTAAATAGTTTTGCAATCTGGAAAAATTTGGTTTAGATTATATAATTTACATAATCCTTTAGTGTTTTGGTTACATTATATTTCGAATTACAGTATTTTATTATAATATTATTACTGAAGTATCTATTTTCCGGTAGTAATATGGAAAACTATTTTCATATTTGTAAAATTCATTTCAATTAAGAGAAGAATAATTAAGAGTTTCATAGTCTACAGACTATGAAACTCTTAATTATTCTTTTGCTTCAGATCCTTGAACCTCTAAAGTCTCTATTGAAAATAAGAAACTTGATTTCATAATTTGACACTATACCTCTGCGATACCACATGTAAGTTAACTGATGGTTGATCTTAATGAATATCATGCAATTTCAACCTCAAAAAACAAAATTATATAATAAAACATTACCATACCTATTCAGTATACTTTACTATAAGGTGGCAATTTCTATTTTGGTAATCTTAAACCTATGGCACTCGTCACCCAAAATTTTTTATTGTATTCTGGTTTTAAAAAGTAAAATTATAATGCACTCTTTTATTTAAGCCATATTTAAGGGGAAAATAGAAGTTTAAAAGAAATCATTTACAATTAAAACATTCAACAAGAATGCATGCAAACATGCCTATGGGAGACCGCAATTTTACATATAAAACGCGGGGAATTTTTTGAGTCTTTTTTTCTACAAAAGTTGCATTTTGTAAGCCGTAAAATATGATTCTAAAAACATTTGTTTCGAAATATATTTTATTAATTAAAACATTTTATTTTACAGCTTGTTCTTGCAAAAGCGGAGAAAGGTGCGATAAAGAAACAGGAGAATGCATATGTAAAAGTAGTAGTTGTGGTGGAGGTTTGTTGTTTAAATTAAAATTTGAAAAATTAGTCTATATATATTTTTAAATTTTTCTTATTCTATATTGAGAAGGCAATAAGTACTCTCCAGTAACCGAGTGGATAAAACCCCAAACACTGGTCGTGGATTCGCTCATGGCCCGTTGGCCATGAGCGAATCCACGACCAGTGTTTGGCCATGAGCGAATCCACGACCAGTGTTTGGACTGGCAACGTGCAGTTTTCTGGGTTTTCTTCACGTTAGTAACATTTAAATAGGGGACAGCTTTACATAAAAGTCTTTCCGGGATGCATCCTCGGCAGATCGCTCAGGTGCCGCGTTGCCGTAACCAAATAAACTAAACCAATTCTAATAATTTTTCTATAAATGCGATATTTAAGAGGACGTGCTTAACTACCAGGAAACCTGGATACCCCGCTTCTTCCTTGATTTCATCTCCCCTTAGTAACTCATAAACCCATTTCCCCAAACTTCTTTCACTGGTACTGCTTAAGATGTTCTAACGTTCAGCCAAATTAATGTACAGTACGTCAATTATTTCAAGGTACAAAGTAGAGCTCGAAGTCTTTTTCTGTGCCGATGTTTATTTTTCTGATTTATTATCATGGCGACATTGCTTCACTCAAAATTTCCTGTACCATAGTTGTAATATGTACTTTATTTACATTTTGAGTCTTACTGTCAAATCCGGTTCCACAATTCTTATGCCACAACTTTCAAGTTTCTTTTAGCAGAGCTTTACTTTTTAACCTGATTTCACCAGTTTTTTTTAATGGGATTACATAAAAACTATTATTCTCGCATCTTTATAGGAATTTTTATTTAAACAAATCTTATATGACGTTTTTCGTTAAGGTTAGCAACTTCGATTACATGCGCGGCCATCAATACAGATCACTTTTCAAATGTAAATAGTACACCAGTATTAATTAGTAGTCGTTGAGCATCCTCTCTTCCGGGAGGAGATCAAGGACTATTTTTTACTCGAATTAACTTTAACCTCCTACCGCAACAGTCTCTTCTTCCTATCGGACAAGCGGTTTGGTGGCATTCGAATATGAAAATTGCATAATACAAGATTACCGGCGTGAACAAAATATGTTTTATATGGTTTTCGAGGGCGCCGAGTTTAAATATTTGGTCTATTTTTAGCGAAATTTGATTAATTGGCAGATTACCATGTGATATTCGGCTGCGAATGAAACAGCTTATTAGAGCTAACATTAGAAAAAAATACAATATATTAAAGCATTTGAGATATCACATTTTCAATTTGTGTCTACTTGACCACTGAAACTGTACCATTTTGTACCGCGATAAACATGACAACGGTAGTCTAAAATAACCAAACTCTTCGTATGGTTTTCGTCTTAATGTTTGTTATATTATACTATTTGGTTTATATAACTACAAAAGTTCTTACGTAAGGTTTATCACACCGAGTGACCAATCTAACACATTTTAAATTAAAAATTTTTTATTATTCTACTGTATACAATTTAAAGAATGTTTAAAATGTGTTAGATTGGTCACTGGGTGTGATAAGCCTTTACGTAAGATAACTTTTTTAGTTATATAAATTAAATACTGTAATGTAATACAATAGAAGGGTTAAAGTACGAAATAAGCTAATAATCTTAATATTTGTTCTTATTTTTTTCTGGGATTACCTGCTAGTGTATATATTACAAGCAAGAAAATAAAATGGAATTTCGAAAATGCTTTATTAATTAAAACATTAACAATACTCGTATGTAGGTACAAAATTTAAAGTAAGAAGTAACGACATCTTCGTCGATAACTTACAAAATAGCCTATCCAGTTAAAAGTTAAGACTCAATTATTAAAAAAAAATAACATTTCTACTGATTTAGCTGTTGCTGTTTTTTAAAGCAATTTTTATAGTAAATTAAAAAATATATATATATGTAAAGGTGTGATTGGCCCTCCAAAGCCGGAGGCGCTTGAAACAAAAGGAGTGACGTGGAACAATAGAAAATAAGGTCAGAAGCTTCTGAAAAGTCAGAAAGAACGGACCACGTGCAAGACCTCGGATATAGTAGGACAAGACAAAGGAACTTCATATAGTTAACGATATTTCCTTCTCGAACTTACATAAAATATTTACAAGTATATATATTGAAAAAACACAAATACTTTTTCGTTTGAACTCTTATATGATAATTAAACTCATCAAACAAAACAACTTATAAAAGCTAGAAGAAAAAATATTTTATTTCCTATAAACAGGTCTATTAATGGAAGTATGAAACGAAATATAAAATAATGATTAAAACAGAATAGTTAGCATCTTATACGAAAAAAGATAAAATAAATTCTTTAATTTTTATACTTTATATACCAAATATTATAGACTAAATAATAAACGTATGAGAACATCTTCACGAAACTCTCCCATTAAATTAAAACCGAAAAAAATTCCAAAAAGATTAATTTTTAAGCTGTAGTCTCAACTGATATATATATATGTTCTTCCGATAATATGATACAATATTATTTTTAATTTTTTACTTTGTTTTTATATTAATTTAATAATTCAATATCAAATGGTATAAAAGAAGATTTATCATTTATGCAATTAGTTTACTTATAATTGTACTGTATATTTAAACTAATTTTACAATTAAAAATAATTTAAAATATAACTATATTGATCTACAAATTAATTATATTTATACTTAGATATAGTTTACATACAGGTATTTATATTTTAAATATGCTTTTCAAAAAAATATAGTTGCAAGTGTAGCAACAACAGAAGATAAGTTTTGCCCTCGGATAGAAATTCTTCGTGGTAAAACAGAATATGTAATATCTGGAACAAGTGGGCAAGTATATATAATTTATTAGTACAATAGAATATTTGTTCATTACGTTGAATCTGAAATTTATCCTTCAATATAATATCTTTCGGGATGAAGAACAAAGTCTCAATCCAAACTATGCATATTTTCAGTTATTGCAAAATGACACTAATTAGTTTCTATGAAGTTGCATCTCGGTATTTATCTCGTGGACGAGACTCAGTATGTTTCTGTTAGATAATCTGTTACTTGATTTAGAGATTGAATTCAGATTTCATTCATTATGATGATTATGGATGTGGCAAAAGATGCCACAGTGGATAACAAAATCTATTGCAACATCTTTTGTCAACATCTGTCTTGTCTTCAACACATGGATACTAATTTGTTCACGAAACTTTTGAAATTTTCAGATTATTATATAGCTATGAGTATATAAGGAATTAGCATTTGCATCTAATTACTTGAAAATACTATATAATTTTTATAATGTAGTCTATTATAAATATAATATACTTTAAATTAAGCACAAAATTGCTATGGAAAACATATCACACAGGAGCATTTTTTTAATGGAAAAAGTAGGCTTTATTTTCAAATTTTTTAAGATGAATAAAAGACGTAAATTGCTTCACTGTACGTTTATCATAAGATTGTACGGTACAGTCACTGTACCGTATGACAATCAGCCTACCTGGTAAACGTAATTTGAAGCATTTTACGTCTTTTATTCATCTAAAAAAATAGAAAATAAAGCCTACTTTTTCCATCAAAACAGGCGTTCCAATGTGATAAGTTTTCCACAGCAATTCTGTGCTTAATTGTAAGAATATAAGAGAGAACAAGAACCAATCAAGTATTAAATATATTTATTTTTTTAAATAACATAACTTAAACTATTATGTTACTTTTAGATAATATGAAAAAACTTCTGAATTTTAAATTATTTGTTATTGAAATTAAATATTGAATAAGTAAAAGATTTTATTTATTTGTATGCAAAAAAATATAAAACGAAATGATTTACTATTCTGTTAATTATATACAGGTACTTCTCGACTTATGTAATGCGCGACTCGTATAAACTGGGATTTATGGAAAAACTTTTCTCGTATAAACATATTATGAAAATTAATAAAAATTATTAAAAAAATCATTCACGTAAGTCGGAGAATACCTGATTTTAATACTGTATAGGTACAGTACAGTATATGCCTATAAAAATTCGAATTTTTTATATTTAATTTAAAAAATTTTTAAATTTTATAAATTTTTCTAGACAAACTCCAGTGGGATCTTTTCCATCAAATACAATAATTCGATATTCTTGTAATTCATTTTATGAATTAGAGGGAAGTTCTCAAAGATTATGTAAATCGGATGGTCAATGGAGTGGAATAGATCCAAGATGCAAACCAGGTTTGTTTTATACTTTATATATTAACTGGATCCAGAATTATAATACCTAATTAGCTCTGATTACCATTTTTTCGTGCACATAAGAGCATAGATAGGGCAAAATCGGCACTGTATTCCGCAAAGTACTTTAAAAAAGCTCTATTTTTAAAAACTCTTTTATGAATTTTATTTTTATTTTGGCTTTTTCATTTTTAATAATGGTATCGGTACATTTGCATTTAATTTACATTGACACAGTAGTGTAGTGCTTTTATAAGCAAAAACAACTTGCCACACATAAGAGCATGCTCTTATTTGCGCGAAATACGGTAAGTATTGATATTAGTAAATGTTTTTTTAAAGGGAAAAATATTTTCATTTCGACTGATAATCTGAAATCATCTTCAGTAGTGATTGTATTACCAGTAATGCAATCTCTACCGAATAAAGTAATTACAGTTAAATTGGTTTGCCGATTTACCTGTAATCAGTTAAAAATACATGGGTAATTTTCCGGTAATTTGATACGTTATACAAGTACAGTACATTCCGTAAAAATAGGTAGATGTGTAATAATTTTTAAAATTTTTAATTTAGTAAAAATAATGTTTGACATTTGTTTTGTGTTAACTACAATTCAAAAAACAATCAGGATTACCTTAAAAGATAAGGCCAGCAAAGATGGAAAGAGAAGTAAAGGCGTCTTAAAACATTTGTTTTAAAGATGTCTCAGCTGGTCTCAACAAAAAAGTATAACACAAATAACATAAAATAAAACATGATAGGAATAAAATAAATATAAAAAATTTATTTTGAAAATTGATGCAACTAGCTCCATTCTCCAATTATGCGTTTTTTGCCCATCAATGATCGAATCCATAACACCACTGAAGCCTTTGACGTTGGTCGTGGGTTCGTACCTGACTAACGGGTTGTCTTCATGAACTTTCTGGGATTTTTTTTCGTATCTAGCATCTGAATAAGGGACAGTTTCCCATAGAAAGTCTTCTTGAGAGGCACATTCTCTTGACAAATCGCCCATGTGTTGTGTTGTCTCATCTAAACAATCCAAATCCAAATTATAATTCTTATATTTTTACAATATTTATTTTCTTGATTATATTTTTATTGATAAAATGATATTTTTACAGAATGTGGTATTTCAGCTGATAAAGTACCATCTATCATAAATGGTACAAAGGCAAGTTTAGGAGAATGGCCTTGGCAAGTAGCACTCGCTTACACTGGATCGGCTTTTATATTTTGTGGAGGAACATTACTTTCAGAAAAATGGATAGTAACTGCAGCACATTGCGTAACAAAATCTAATACTACATCTGCCCAACCTAACTCCGCTTTTAAAGTATTTTTTGGCAAGCTTTATCGTCATACGTCTGGCCATACAGTTCAAGAAAGAGATGTAAGTTATCAAATAAAATATCTGGTTTAATATTATAAATTGTCTGAATTTATTTAAATTTTTAAAATTAATTTAAAATAGTTTTAAAGAAAAAGATTCACTAGAAAACAGCAAAAAGCACAAATTTTAAAGATTAAATAAACATTAATTATTTCTTATGATTAATAACAATGAAAACACTTGCCGAATATTCAAAATAATAACCTAGTTTTTATTAGTATAATTCTTGAAGATGAATTTTCATATTAAAAAAATCCTAAAGAATTATAAATAGAAAAATTTCCTCTTTTTTTTAGGTTGAAAGATTAATAATTCATGAAAGTTTTAACGCCGTTACACTTGACAGTGATATAGCTCTAATGGAAGTGAAGCCGTTAATATTAACCCAATTTGTTCGGCCTGTTTGTTTAACAACAAATGGCATCAGTCAAAGAAATCTTGAATATGAAAGAATAGGAATAGTAAGTGATTATTTAAATTAAATATGTTATATTATGTTAATTTTGATTGAAATAAAAGTAATAAGGAAGATAAAGAATTCAGTTTTACATATTGTATTTTTGCATTTATGTGTTTTATAACAAAGAGATCCATTTATAAAAATATACAATAATATACACGAGATGAAACTTAATTCATTAACTATTAGAGTCAATTAGAGGCAGATAAGGTACCAACAATCGAATATAATAAAGCAATTTTAAAATTAACCCAATGACGGATCTTATTTGAAAGAAAGCCTAAAAAAATTATTTTCATTTTTCAGGTAACCGGTTGGGGCAAGGACGAAAAAGGAAAAAATTCTGATATCCTTAAAGTCACAAATTTAACTGTAATATCTAGAAGAAGTTGTAGAGAATCTAATAATTTGGAAATAACAGAAAATATGTTTTGTGCCGGTACACCAGGCGATAGACCTACGACAGATGCATGTACCGGTGACAGTGGTGGACCAATGGTATTTCCAGTACAAAGTGAAGGAAGAATGAGATGGTATTTAGAAGGTATTATTAGTTGGGGAGCTTCAGAAGGATGTGCAACACCAAATAGGTTTAGTGGTTTTACAAAGGTTTCTCAGTTTATAGATTGGATTCATTTATATATAACGGAATGAATCCTTTAATAATAAAAAATAAAAAGTCATTTCATAGACATTTATTTATTTATTAATAAACAAATAACTTCTGAAATGGTCTACTGTGTATAAACCAATTATAAAAAAATAAAGAACTCTCGGATGGAAAAAATCTGGAAAGATCAGACAGGGTCAAAAGAANGTCAAAGAAATCTTGAATATGAAAGAATAGGAATAGTAAGTGATTATTTAAATTAAATATGTTATATTATGTTAATTTTGATTGAAATAAAAGTAATAAGGAAGATAAAGAATTCAGTTTTACATATTGTATTTTTGCATTTATGTGTTTTATAACAAAGAGATCCATTTATAAAAATATACAATAATATACACGAGATGAAACTTAATTCATTAACTATTAGAGTCAATTAGAGGCAGATAAGGTACCAACAATCGAATATAATAAAGCAATTCTAAAATTAACCCAATGACGGATCTTATTTGAAAGAAAGCCTAAAAAAATTATTTTCATTTTTCAGGTAACCGGTTGGGGCAAGGACGAAAAAGGAAAAAATTCTGATATCCTTAAAGTCACAAATTTAACTGTAATATCTAGAAGAAGTTGTAGAGAATCTAATAATTTGGAAATAACAGAAAATATGTTTTGTGCCGGTACACCAGGCGATAGACCTACGACAGATGCATGTACCGGTGACAGTGGTGGACCAATGGTATTTCCAGTACAAAGTGAAGGAAGAATGAGATGGTATTTAGAAGGTATTATTAGTTGGGGAGCTTCAGAAGGATGTGCAACACCAAATAGGTTTAGTGGTTTTACAAAGGTTTCTCAGTTTATAGATTGGATTCATTTATATATAACGGAATGAATCCTTTAATAATAAAAAATAAAAAGTCATTTCATAGACATTTATTTATTTATTAATAAACAAATAACTTCTGAAATGGTCTACTGTGTATAAACCAATTATAAAAAAATAAAGAACTCTCGGATGGAAAAAATCTGGAAAGATCAGACAGGGTCAAAAGATTTTTTTTTAATATTTATGTACTATCATAGATAAAAATAGTTACTAAACTTTTGCTATTACTAACTTTTTTATTCATCGTAATAATAAACAGATCATCCTATTTCTAATATTAATTTTCGTATTAGGAAGCCCGATATAATTAATATTAACTCGCTTAAAATTAAAATTTAAATAAATATTTAAAAAGCAGACAAATTTATAAAAAGAAAATCAAACTTAAATTTATTTTAATTTATCTTTTGTGTGAAACAACGCTAAAACAATTTCTATAGACATGTCGCAAAAGAAAAGAGAGTTGCAATTAATTAGAAAAATTGTAATTAAGGATTTAAAAATGCAAGCAAAATAAATAAATAAAACTTATTATAAAAACTAAATAAATTAAACCTAAAAATTAAGATGAGATTTAATATACGATCATTTAAATTAGTCTTTACTTTTCGTACATTCTGTAAGCAATAAAATATAAAGAAATACTATATTAAGGTACGGTATTTTATCAACTGATCCTTAATATATAAGTATCCTTCATATAACACGGTAGTTCCGAAAAAGTGCCATGTTATGCGAATACGTGCTATACGACACAAATAATTAATACAAAACACGGGGTTAGGTTCCAAAAGTTAACAAAAGTGTACTTTTCTTTTCTCTCACTAATAAAAATACGTTTATTAAAGCAATCAATAATTAACTTGTAGGCAATAGTCGTTCGGCGCTACAATCCTTTGTCTAGTCCAGTGTTTCTCAACCTCTAACGAATCGTCGCTCCCTTCAACGTAGTATCGCCCCCTTCAATATAACCGTTACGTAGTATCGCCCCCTTTACTATAAATTCCGATGCCGAGGGCCAAGGCTAACGCCAAATTCGTACTGCATTGAATAGACTATTGACTAGTATAATGTTATTTGTTTAATTATTGTACGATATAACGAATAAAATATCTAATTATTCTAAATATAATGTTTTACTATATCGCCCAGAAAATTGTTTTTCGCCCCCCAAAATATAAATTGTTGCTAATCGCCCCCTGAACATGGAAAAACGCCCACATGGGGGCGATATCGCCCCCGTTGAGAAACACTGGTCTAGTCGAATAATCGAGTAGTAGAGCTCTTGTCGTACACACCTGAACTGCCTCGCGGCAGGTCGAAAAAGCGCGGGAATCTGTCAAGTTCTGACGTCATCCTGTCGAGGCCCTCTGGTGGCGACTGTAGGCCTCAGTACTCCCCCGCGAGTGTTAACGATACTTCAGGTTAAAGCGTACCCGTCGTCCGGAGCGGGTTGTGACTGGTGGTTGGGTCGCCTCGAGGCCTGTTGGTGGTGGGGGTTCCTTTTCCGTGCCGGTTGGGACAGAAGTTGTAGGGTCGGCGACAAAAGCTGGTTTGAGGCGGTCGATGGTAACTGTCACCTCCTTCCGTAAACGAATCAAAAGACGAGATAAGATTAACTAGAACATTTATTAGCTTACATACATCCGACTTGGATTTTACACAAATTGCGAAATTATACCTCGACTTACGCGAATTCGACTTGCACGGTTATCGCTCGGTCCCACCTATCGCGTAAGTTCGGGGTATTACTGTACTAGAAAAAGAAGAAAATCTGGAAATGTGCAAGTAAATGGAACTCGATTATTATTGATTTTATCGTATTCAATTTTATTTCAGTATATTCTTACAGATTGGTAAATAAGAGTTACAGCTGTTTGAGTGAATATGCTCAGATATTTCTATTTCAACTGATAACAGAAAACTATTGAAAGCTAATTGAAAAATTGTGTGTATAAAAAAGTAATTTTCAGAAAGGTTAGTGTTCTTACTTTTTAAAATTAACTACTTTAAGTTTCTTACTTTCAAAATTTTCCTAGTATATGGTAGGTTGTTAGCGTGTAAACCTACAAATCCGGGCGGGTCGAAAATCGTTGACATTTTTTCTGGTTTAAATACGCTAAAATGTCCGGTGTTCGTAAACAGCGGAAAAACTGTGCAAGAAGTAATTTTCTCAGTTTTTTGAGATACTGTACCGTACACGGTCTAAAGTTCAACTTAGATGTTTGCAAAATACAAGGGCTTCGCACTGCTTAAGAAAATGTATCAGGGCACCGACCTGGTACGTCCTGGCACGACTATAGCTGGTGCTAACTCAAAAACATTAAAATAAAGTACGAGGGTGATTCAAAAAGTAAGATAACAAGAGCTCTCATGGGTGTCATATTCATCCTCTTGTTCGAATTTCCCATTAGGGCAGCAGCAGAAGACCACAGCTTTATCACAGAAGCGTTAGATGGTGCAAATGTTGCATCAGACTCTCGCAATATCATTTTGAAAATGGCTGCGCTTACAGAAACGTGGTCAAATTATTAAAGAAATTTTCTACACTAAATAAGTATTAATAATTATTTTGAATGGATGTATGAATTTTATAATTGTAAAGGCTTGTCTTGTGAATTCAAAATATTTGGAATCTCACAAACAAATGAATTGTTATGGTGCTTCAAGTGGGAGGTACTGGAACATCCTCCCTATAGCCCCAACCTGGCACCCTGTGATTTACATCTCTTCGGACCATTGAAAAAGCATCTGGGTGGTAGGCGATTCCAAACCAATATGGAAGTTCAGCAAGTCGTCATGGCGTGGCTGAAGGGACTTGACGCAGATTTCTTCTCTGTCGGCATCGATGGCTTGGTATATCGTTGGAATAAATGTTTGGACAAGCGTGGTGACTATGTTGAAAAATAATATGTACCAGTGCCATAATAATCTGTATCACTATATCTGCCTTTGAAATAAAATTTGTACAGGAGAGTTCTTGTTACCTCACTTTTTGAATCACTCTCGTAAATCACCGAATGGAAAAGTCAATTAAGGCAGCCTGCGACTCTGGAGAGCCAGGATTAAATTCGAGCGGGTAACTTTCCAGGAATTTTTCATGGGCATCTGTCTCTGGGCCACGGCTTACCATTCTCACTCGGTCTCTTCCATTGTGGGTATAGCGTAATCCATTACGGGTTCGAAGAAAAAATCTTAGTGCCCACAGGGAAAAAGAGTCTATATGAAAATAATTTCGTCTGATTGTTAAGTGAATATTTAATCTTTCTTATATTATATAACATACATTAAAATTATATAACCAGATTGTAATCCATTATAATCTGATTATAAAATTGCATTTTGTAATCAGTGTATATATGACGTTTGAAATTGGCATTTTAGATTTCTTTGCCATTCGGCATTGTTTAGTATAAACAGCTGACAACTTTCATGGATTATGCGTAAACAACTTGGAAAATGCAATATACGGTCGACCCCCCCTATAATACGGGTTCCTATAGTTCGGATTCCTATATGACGGCGAAAAAATTGCGACCGTATCCGTACAAACATGGTAAAAAAACGCCTATAATTCGGTAAAACGTCACCGGGCAGCCGAAACTACTTTCCGCCGTCCAGCGCCACGCTACGGAGAGTTTAGGCGGGTAAGTTGAGTTTACTATCGTCTGTATGGTATGTAAATTAGGTACCGTAAGTCTAATACAGCACTAATTTTATACATTTCTTGTGAAAGAAACATTTCTTATTCAACGGCCATAAAAATTATTTATATTAATGATGTCTCCAAAGTTCAACGAAGTTTTCGCAGAAAAATAACTTATCAGAAATCGCGGCCGCCGTTTGGTGCGCTGCTCCGCGACGAAAACAAGCTTAAGCNAAGGACATAATTAATTCTTTAATCAATTATATTACATTTTAGTTGTTTATTTTATATAAAAGATGTCATTACTGGATTCCGAGAGAAGAGGCATGTACAAAATTTCAACATTGTTTAGAATGTGATCCAGGTAGCAATACCTGTGCCACTTGCCCGCCAAATCGTTATGGAAGATATTGCACTGGAAGTAAGAAATACTTTAATTTCATTTATAATAGATATAATATATATACCGTATTTATATATTTATAAATTTATAAAATCCGTGTTACATTACCCAGCCTATGACACTCGTCATTATATGGTATAAGCTAATATTTACTTTCATAAATATTTTAAACGCATCTAGTATTTCCATACAATATTTTTAAAATAAATATTTTATGTATTTCATAACATTTCATATACGTATGTAAAATATTTAAAGAAATCGCTTCCTATATATTAATTTTCTGTAATTTGGTATGACATCATAATACACGCCATTATAATTTTATTCACTTCCTTTTACTTGTATTTATCAACGAAATTTATACAGTGGTTTTATTTCCGGAAGCCACGTTCAACGAGAGCTCTGCATTCCGGACATTTTGTTTTGCCCCTCTTCATCGAATTTCTTAAAAGTTTTCCATTTAACAGTTTAACAATTAACAACTTGTGACGGAACTTCTTAAGAAATTGGACTGAAGGAGGACAAAAAATAGCCTAAATGCATATCTGTATATAAAAGATTACCTCTTTTTGAGTGTGATTACCGAAAAAAAGAAAAAAAACTACACAAGTTCATTGAATAATTCCATGAGAGATCTGGGATCAAGTTCTTTCTGGAAACGTGATTTACTCTCTGATATGTTTCGGTTGTAATATGTCGGATCTCAATTTTTAACATCTGGCTGCTTGCTCAGGACCTGGCCAAATATCATAAATCATAAGCATATGCATTATATATTATTAGTGTTCCTTTAATACAGGTGTTTGTACGCATACAGAAAGGCTCTGTAATAAAATCAAATTAAAGTCGCACAAAATTCAACAAAGCAAATTAAATTTTGTGGCCTGTGAAAAGTATAGGACTATAGACATATTTCAAAGTCATTCAAACGAATTAGACTTTGAAATATGTAGATGTCAAGGTTAAAATAATCGAAAAGGTATTGATCTATAAGAGAACTAAGCGATTGTTATTTTTCCGCCAAAAATTCGTTATCAGAAATTGCGGCCGTCGTTTCGCGTGCTGTTCCGCGATGAAAACCAGCTTTAAGCAACGGCGTAGTCGAACGGTGTAAGTAATCCTACAATTTTTTGTTTATAGCATAGTTTATACGGATTATTCCCCAAAAAAATATACGTATTTTGGAAATGTTGAGTCGAATTAGTCTAGGAATCGATTAATTTTATGGAAGAAAACCTTTCAAACAGCCGTAGTCCGTAATGTTCATACGTGCCGGGTTATGATTGGCAAGGACTCGTACAAAATGGATTCATAAAGAACGGAACGTATCTACCGTGTTATAGTGGGGTCGACTGTACTAGGTTACAAGACACGAATGTAAATTCTAAAATTTCTGCCTTTTGATAGTAAATCGGTTCCTTCAGTTTTTGCTTGAAAATTTTTCAAAATTAATTATAATCCGACCTTTGCAGCTATTTTAGTCAATTCGCCNTGGTGCGCTGCTCCGCGACGAAAACCAGCTTAAGCAATGGCGACGTCGAACGGTGCACACTCGGTAAGTAATCTTACAATTTTTTGTTTATAGCATAGTTTATACGGATTATTCCCAAAAAAATATACGTATTTTGGAAATGTTGAGTCGAATTAGTCTAGGAATCGATTAATTTTATAGAAGAAAACCTTTCAAACAGCCGTAGTCCGTAATGTGCATACGTGCCGGGTTATGATTGGCAAGGACTCGTACAAAATGGATTCATAAAGAACGGAACGTATCTACCGTGTTATAGTGGGGTCGACTGTACTAGGTTACAAGACACGAATGTAAATTCTAAAATTTCTGCCTTTTGATAGTAAATCGGTTCCTTCAGTTTTTGCTTGAAAATTTTTCAAAATTAATTATAATCCGACCTTTGCAGCTATTTTAGTCAATTCGCCAAACGTTACTACAATCTATTGAATGACTCGTGCAGAAGAGAATCTGTCTGGAATGAAGGATGTTTCAAGCACGGGTGGGTGACCTCGAAACGATTTACTACTGTGCTTCTCTTACAACCCTTTCTCTGATTTATGCCAAGATATTTTCAAGAAAAATTTCAACTCTCCGCAGAATATTACTAATTATTAACTGGCTTATTTATCATGACAATAAATTAGATAATTACATAAAATCTATTTTAAAGTTGTTTTCCATGAATAGTTTTAAATATAATTTTTGCGGTGGAACTGTTTAAACTACAATCATTGTATTGGTGTGTGTATATGATAAATATTTCAATAAATTAAATTAAATTTCACGTATTAATACGTAACTTGTGATATTCATTGTTATTTTAGTTTTATGCATTCTTCATTTATGTTGAGTAATTTATGACAGATAACGCTATTACAAGCGTAATGAGCGAAACTATGTCGAATTTACATTTTTAATGAATTGGTATATTGTGTTAACAATAAATCAAAGAATCATTCCAATTTGTACATCAATACTATTGAAGAAAATTGAACTTCGTAACTTTATTGAATGCATTTTTCATAGAATATAAAGTGAAACTAGTAGAGAATTTAGAGATGAAGTAGTAGTTAGTCATGTAAATACAAATGTAACTTAATAGTAAGATTATACAAGCTTATGTATAGTTAAATTAATTGGTTTATTTCAAAATTATGAAGAAGTTTAAAGAGGATGAATGTTTATTGTATACTGTATCAGCTTAAGTAAGCATTTATAATAGTTTAAGAAAATATACAAATGATTGTGCAAACCATTACATAACCAAAATTAGTATTTTACCTATGTTACGAAAGATCTATTTATAGTGAACTTTACATAGAAACATTAATTTTGTAAATTGCTTGCAATAAATCGAATGAGATTTAATCTCCTGAGAATTATGCTTCCAGGAAGTTTTACACATAAATTATCAAGTACAGCACATTCTGAAATCTGAACAAGTTATGCATTTAAATCTAAATTTCGACATTTACACCTAAAATTTTTTAAAATTTAAAATATCATTTTGAATTTATTTTGGAATAAAATTTTAAAACAACACTTATTATAAAAATTGTTTTAAAATGTTATCTTAAAATACAATGGGTGATCGGTTAACGAACATAATCCGTTCCAAGACTTTGTTCGCTATCCGAATTGTTCGTTAACCGATTATCGTTTTACCATAGGTTTTAATGGGAATTTAATTAATTCGTTCTGGAGACACCCAAAAATGAAATATATATACTTTCTTACTACGTTTATTCATATGTAATAATAAAAATACATACATACATAGTCTTGCATTTTTATTAGTCATGTTTTTTCCGTTTGAAAAGGTTAAAGAATCTGTCTAATGTCGATTACTTTTCTCTCTTCTTCAAGATTTTTCGTAAGTAATTAACACGCGTTCTGTCGAGTCCGGATAGAGCAGACGGGTGATGAGTGATGGGACAGAATATATTTAAGCTAAATCACTCACTAAAAAGTCCTGGCGTTAACTCGGTGGCTCGGATTGAGATTGTCTGGTTGTTATTTTTGGGTTTTGCACCTGTCTAACTGGCTGGTCGCTTAGAGTTTTCTAAATTTTCTTCGTGTGTTTATAATCAGAAACAACTGACTACGTTATCTTTCATGGTCATACGCTACTGAGAGCTGTATTTGATAATATTGTACACTTACAAAAAAAATTAAATAGTTATAATGCTAAAAACACTTTAATTACTCATTTTTTATAATAATATAAGTTGCTTTTACAAAAAAGTTGTAATAATATACAGGCCTACACAGGTTTACGTAAACATTATACTTTTATTTTATTTGTAGCAGCTCAACAGCATATATGAAAAAAATCCATGTTTATTAATTCGATTGTCTCTTTTTTGTAGTCTCATTTACAGATTTATTTTTGATTTAATAAGCAATAATTATTATTATTATCATAATCATTAATATAATTAGACCTAAAAACTTGTAAACAAGTTATAGTCTGTTATTAAGAATGTCGTAAAAATTAATTCTATATTAATAAATTAATATATTGTAATAATAATTTGTTTTACAATATTTTTTTTACCTTACATTTTTTAAAATATTTTTACTTTTTACCTAATAAAGAAAATAAGTAAAAAGTAAAAACAGGTTTGTATATTAGTTTTTCTTTAAATGTGCATATAATAAAATAACTTATACATATAAAAATATGTTTCAATAAATAAAACCCTTTCTGTTTTGCTATATTTATTTTTTAATTTTTGTGAAAGAGGAAAGCAAATTCAGAAAGAAGCAGAAAAACTAATGCCTCTTTGGTACTCTGAATTCGCTTTAGTGAAACTAATCACTGATGTGTTACAGCTTCATGTAGCCCAAGCGAATTTGAATTAGGAGCTTCATGCATAGTGTTTATTGACTTCAAACATTTCTTTTTCGGGTGAATTTTTTGGAGGAAACATTTTCTTATAAAAAATTGGTTTGGGACCTCCTGTTGTTGGTGGCCCCAAGCAATTGCTCCTTTTCCCCATAGGATAAAGCTTCATTGACTGTAATATTAATTCATGAGAAATTTAAACAGAAACAAATTAGCTAATTATTGGTAATTAATAATAATCTGCTATAATGATATTGTAGTTGGTCTCTTTAATTAATCAATTATACTTTGTTACCACATCAAAAAGTCAATGACATTACTTTTTTCTTGCCATACCGGAACTGTTTCCTTAAGGAATCAAATTTAACCTGTTTATTAAAATGCTTCTCAGAAAATCACGTTATTTCTAGAGGGATCTAATAGAATATTAAACTGGATATAAATGTAAATCAACTGGTCTCTCTTTCTCTCTCTCTCTCTTTAGCATTAAATATCATCTTGATGAACCGGTTAAAACGTTATGCTTAAATTCATATTTTGATTATAAATTTATTTGTTTTATTTCGCTTGAATTTGTAGTTTTAGTAGAATAACTGATTACAAAACATATTTTTATCCATAATTTTAAATAAGTATTGCATTTTCGTCTGAAATTTTTAGTTAAGGTCAACGATTTTTTAATATTTATTCCCCATCATGAGAATAAAGAACTGTTCCATTATTTTTAAAGGTAAGAATTTTTTCATTTTATTACGGTTGAAGGTCGAGCTCTAAATATATATTGTCTTATGTATCAATTTAATATTTCTATGCATTTATAGGTATTTTTGCATTGAATTTGTTGTTGAANAATAAATAAAACCCTTTCTGTTTTGCTATATTTATTTTTTAATTTTTGTGAAAGAGGAAAGCAAATTCAGAAAGAAGCAGAAAAACTAATGCCTCTTTGGTACTCTGAATTCGCTTTAGTGAAACTAATCACTGATGTGTTACAGCTTCATGTAGCCCAAGCGAATTTGAATTAGGAGCTTCATGCATAGTGTTTATTGACTTCAAACATTTCTTTTTCGGGTGAATTTTTTGGAGGAAACATTTTCTTATAAAAAATTGGTTTGGGACCTCCTGTTGTTGGTGGCCCCAAGCAATTGCTCCTTTTCCCCATAGGATAAAGCTTCATTGACTGTAATATTAATTCATGAGAAATTTAAACAGAAACAAATTAGCTAATTATTGGTAATTAATAATAATCTGCTATAATGATATTGTAGTTGGTCTCTTTAATTAATCAATTATACTTTGTTACCACATCAAAAAGTCAATGACATTACTTTTTTCTTGCCATACCGGAACTGTTTCCTTAAGGAATCAAATTTAACCTGTTTATTAAAATGCTTCTCAGAAAATCACGTTATTTCTAGAGGGATCTAATAGAATATTAAACTGGATATAAATGTAAATCAACTGGTCTCTCTTTCTCTCTCTCTCTCTTTAGCATTAAATATCATCTTGATGAACCGGTTAAAACGTTATGCTTAAATTCATATTTTGATTATAAATTTATTTGTTTTATTTCGCTTGAATTTGTAGTTTTAGTAGAATAACTGATTACAAAACATATTTTTATCCATAATTTTAAATAAGTATTGCATTTTCGTCTGAAATTTTTAGTTAAGGTCAACGATTTTTTAATATTTATTCCCCATCATGAGAATAAAGAACTGTTCCATTATTTTTAAAGGTAAGAATTTTTTCATTTTATTACGGTTGAAGGTCGAGCTCTAAATATATATTGTCTTATGTATCAATTTAATATTTCTATGCATTTATAGGTATTTTTGCATTGAATTTGTTGTTGAAAGTATTTCCTCAAATTTCACAGATTGGTAAGTGTCGAAAAGTTATATATACCTGTAATTGTGGGAATCCAGGATATTTTATTCAAGCTGAATTTGCTCGGTAAGCACTATTTTTATTAGAAGTTATACATATATTGCTTAATACAAGATTTCAAAATACCAGTACGTGAATAGAAAACCATTCATGAAAAGCTACATAGCAAAATATGCAGTCAGATTCTATAATAAAGCTATGTAAAGAAAAAATAAGTTAATTAAAACGTACAGTATTTAAAAATCAGTATATGGGAAATTATTTTATTTACTATTAATATTTTTATTATAAAGAACGGTCTGGTAAAATTTATCTAAATTTTTCTAATTATTAAGAGACGTAAGTAGCTAAAGATCCTTAAAGGGGCAGTGTATGGGATGAATGGCAGATACAAGGGGGCTACAGAAGCTTAAGCTCTTTATATTAACTCAAAAAAATAAAATAAAAAATTATTTGTTCGAACTTCAAAACATTCTTTTCAGTTGATAAATTATTATTATTTTTATTGAAATTTTAAAATTATAAATACGTTATGTAGTAAAATTTAAACGTTAAAATAAAACTTTAAACTTGTGAAGAAATATCATTAATTAATTCTTATTTGAGTTTTTATTCATTCAATATGTAATTTATTTTTATTTCATATCAACATAGAAAGGGATAAGCGAATTAAATTCAGTGTTGGAAAGGGGATCACATGTGTAAAAGGGTTGGAAACCCTTGCTTATTCCGAATATCCAGTAAACTTCTTATATATTTTTAATTATAAAAATTAAATTTTCATAATAATACATTCATTCTTTTTATATTTCTTACAATTTAAGTAATAAAGCGGTTATTTATTATGTTCATATTCTATTACTTTCTAATGAATAATTTAAATTTTAACATGCCTTATGCAATTTTGAAATTTTAAAACTCATAACTAATATCTTTTTATTATCGCAATCCATTTTAAACCATTTTAAACAAACAAAATAATAGTATTTTCCGTAAAACAGATTCGAAAAAGTGTAATTTTCCGTTAATTCATCATCTCACCCTTAGAGGTGCGGGTTAGTTGGTGAACAGTATATTGATATGCCCTCTTCCAGAGTCTACTCTGTTACTTTTGACCGATTATCAGTTAGGCTCATTATTCACGCTTCTATAGTATTATATACAAACTCATTAAGTCAACCGTTCAAAAGTCAACAAAAGTCAACCGTTAATCAAGATTCTCGAAGTCACAGTAAACATAAGCATGTTTAGGGTAAAGCACTCTGCAAGCCAGAAACAGAAACATTTGATTTTTTCACTTATTTTTAAAGCAATTGCGGGTAAATAGCACACAGCAAGTATGGCTTTCAACAACTGCAATATATTAATACGAGGCGTTACGTTTTCGTTTATAGAATAATTACACGTGTTCACCATCTCACCTTATAGATACATCATGTAACGTAATTTATTATTAATTGCAAATTTAATAAAATCGTAATATTTCACAAGTTGATTTTTCAATAAGCAACGAATTAATGGTTTTTTAAAATCTTACAAAACTAATTAAAATACTTTTATTTGTATAAATTTTAAATACAATAATTCTTTTTATCTGTCAATAAGTTATATAAAAAGAAATACTTATTGGGATTGTATGCCTATACCAGTTTCTTATTTACAGTAGTTTTAAATTATTTTAATAATAAGTTTTGAAAAATTTTAATGAATTAACCGAAATATATTTTTATTCCTTATCTTTTTATAAAAAGATGCCAATATCCAATCTCACGGGAACATGCATGTTCGAGATTTCAGTTTTGTTCAGAGTGTGATCCAGTTAACAGATCGTGTATTATTTGTCCACCAAATCGTTATGGACGACTTTGTACAGGAAGTAAGAATTTTTTTATTATTATTGAAATATCCATTTGTTTAATATAGGCCTAATACTGATTAATATTAATAAATTGTTTTATTACTATGAATTTTCAAAATATAATGATATAACTCATCCGTTTTGCTAGATTTCATAAATGTAATTACAATAGTGTTGCAAAAATACAATTCTACAAGGTGTTCCAAAAGTCTCCATACATTGACACAAATCAAGCCCACTAGTGGCCGAATAAATAAAACCATTGAACACTGATAATTGGTCATTGGTTTGTGCCTGAATAATGGGCTGGCCATCATGCAGTAATCTGTGTTTTCTTCATGTTTCTAACACTTAAACAGAATTTTTCAGTTTTCACATAGGAAGGCCTGCTAGAAGTTACCCCAATGGTAGATCACCCACGTGTTCCGTTGCCTTACTCTGTCAATCTACTGACACAAATCTTAATGCTGACATGCTAATAATTTAATGTTTTGTGAATAAAGTTACATTTCACCTTTATATATATGGAAACTTTTGGGGAGCCCTGTATATTCTAAAGAATGGTGCCCAAACTTTTTGATTAGTGGGTCAAATTGCTCATAAATCATAGGTAAGCGGGCATACATATTTTATATATTCAGTGTAGACAAAAATAGGCCTATTTCTATAATTTGTAAATGTTGTGTCAAATATTTTTGCGGGTTGGAGTAGTTTGTAGTTCGAGCAACACTAAGATTATTAAGAGAAGTGAAATTGTTTTTTACATTTTTGTATAATAGAATTTATTTTTGAAAACTGTCAAATTAAAGCTTTATATGCAATTTTCTTTCATATAGCAGTAAAGAATGTAAACTATCTGCACAACAAAATACGATACAATATACTGTATTCTATAATAACATAAATATAAAGTAATATACAAGTATTACTTATACTTGGGCAAATATTATATTTATAAATAAGGTTTAAGAATTCTTAATTATTCAAATTATCACAAACAAGGATAGTGTACTTTTAACAATGATGTATTATTATTTATTTTACAAAATAATATCGAAAATAATAATATGATTTTACACTTAAACACTTTGTTGAATGAGTTAAAAATTTTTAATTTTTCTGATTTAATGAAATTCTTAATCTATACTAATATTATAAAGAGGTAATGTTTGTATGTATGTAAGTTTGTATGCAGCGGGTAATCTCCTAAACTACTCATCCGATTTCAAAAATTCTTTCACCAATATTTAGAATGGAACTTCAGGGTGGACATAGGCTGTATATTATTCCGTTAAACATTCATATAAATTAAATGATATAATCTAGGTTAAGGCTTTTATGTCCAACAGATGGCGCTACTAGTACGACGCCCTAAGTTTGCTTTTCTGCGAGGCATTACGCTTTTCTGTGAAAATGAACTAAAGCGGATCATCTTCTATCTATTTATATAAATAAAAAATGTAATGTAAATTCTTTGTAATGTAATGTAAAAATGTAAATTCTTTGAACTTAGAAGACAAAAATGACTTATCCACATTGATAATATTTATATATTAAATATTAATATGCATTAATAGGTATACATGTATAACTGAATAGTAATGTGTATACATTAATGGATATTATAAAAAATATAGGTATTTATTTATTATAACTGAGTTTTTTCCCGAACATGTGTACATAAATTGGTATCGATTACACAATAGCGTATATAGAAGCCTTTGAACTGTAGTCCTACCGATTCCTTTAAAATTTTGACACAACGCTGCATTCGAATACGCACGTGTTTTTATATAATATACATGTCGAAATTCAACCCCACTGAAGGGAAATGGTTAGGATTAAGGCTTACGGTAAAGAACTCTGATTTTAGATGCGGGTTTTTGCGTTTTTGATTGCGTTTTAATAGGGTGCGTCGAGAGAATGTACACTAAGAAGAAATTTTTCGAAAAATTTCTCCCCCAACGGAAAAAGTGTTAAAAATTTATAATAGATACATTTTGAGCCACAACAACGCGTGGCGGGGTCTCCTAGTGAAAAAAATAAAGTAAATATTAATTTATGATTAAAATTTTACATTTATATTTTGTATTCGTGCTTCTGCCATAATACCCTGCTAAAACATCAATAGAGTTTTCTTTATTTATAAATATACAGTACTGTATTTTTTAAAATTATCAAAAATGAGTTTTAGTTAGTTTATACTAAAATATTATTTCGAAAGTAATTTATATCAATATTTAAAATTTTCATTTTACAGCCTGTAACTGTAAAGAAGGAGAAAAATGTAATAGAGATACTGGGGAGTGCATTTGCAGATCTTGTAATACAAGTACAGAAGGTTTGCTGTTTTTCATGACTTTCCAATAATTTATTGCGATGTTTAATCATTAGATTTGTCATTAGATTGTAAATTAATTAAATTATTAAAATATAAATAAAGTTAATACAATCTTTAGCCCTGAAGTAAAAAATCTTTTAATAAATGTTGACTATAAATATTTTATTCGTCATTTGTTATTTTTTATATTAGAAAAATAAAATATATGAAATTATTTACTTATATATAATTTTTTTATTATTTATATTCAATCAACGACAGTGTCAATATTTAATGAGAAAGTTTGTCCTCGAGATGATTCTGAATTTTCTCATGGTAGAATACAATACACAATCTCTAGTACAACAAGGTAAATAAATAAAATTAAATATTTATTTTTCATTTATGATCTAAATTATATTAAAACATATATAAGTACAGCGAGTCCTCATTTAATAATGTCAATAAGTTGTGACATAAACGAAACGACATTTAAATAACGAAACCAATTTTACCACAGGCTAAATGATACACTATAAACAATATATAATTCGATTAACGTTGTTGAGGAAAGTACTAGTACATTTGTAATTATTTTCAAATATTGTTGTTGAATTTTGTTTATAAACAAAATTGAAAATATGGTTGCTGCTTAAAGCAGATGCGGGGAAGCTAAAGCACGTGCTCTCTGTCGTTTTTCGGAGAATGTTACTTTATACTGCAATTATTTTAGCTACTTAATCTTACCTAATTGAAGTCATGTGATAAGCATCATAATATTTATTTTTATTTTAAAGTAACAAAACTTACTGATTTGATATCAAGGGATGCCGCAGCACCAATAGGTAAGCAATTTATATGCATGCATCATATAAATTGCTTACCTAAACAAAGATTCTTATTGTTCGTATTAATCATTCATATATTCACTTTACTTATTTTACACTAACAATACGAATATTTAGTGATATAAAATACAATATATTGATATAAATGTTTTTATAAAATAAACAAAATTAATTTTATTTTTATTTAATTATAATATGCACATTAATTTTTTAACCACTTTGAATATTCGTTTAAATATTATTCGTTTTATAATTTTGTTTAGTTTTTCTAAAAACGGTTACCCACCAAATTCTATAATTCATTATTCTTGCAATCAGTTCTATAAGCTACATGGAGTTTCTCAAAGATTGTGTATGGAAAATGGTGAATGGAGTGGAATTCGACCAAGATGCAAACCAGGTATGTGTATTCAGTTTGTTTCATTTGTTGACTTAGGGAATTCATACCCTTGAAATCTTTACCTTTAGATAATTAATGATTAAGGGTTGGGATTTGTATACACTTGTATGTGTTTTTTTCTTAAATGCTAACATAGCTTAACACAGACATGATTTTGTTCCAAGTAAATTAATGTAAGATTATCCGATAATGCATATTTTATACGCATTTTTAAAAACGTATAGGGGAAGATCGTGCAATACCGACCACCTTAATATTTTTGGCTGTAACAAACGTAAAACTCGGAAAAATTGATTTTACAACAGTAATATTATACCTCAAAGAGTGCTTCATAAAGTACAGGGTAAGATTTCTCTAAAATTTTCCTAAAGTACTAACTATTTCTAAAATAAAAGTCATGAATTCGGCCAGTGCAAATATTGTCGTCCAGTACCGACCAGTCACTGTTCTAAAGGGCATTAAGGTCTTAACATAATATCAACTCCAGACAAAATACATTTTAAAATGAAACTAACTACTCATTCTCAAGGTAAAATTAAAGCCGTGAAAATAACTTTTGACGCACTAAATACCAACAAACACCTTCTCTGCTTGTGATTCCGAACCGAACAAAATAATTCCCAAAATGACTTATGACGATGATATTCTTCTGTGTATGTCTGTAGAATGCTGCTATCTAGCTTCAGTAGCAAAAAACTAGCAATGGTCGGTACTGTAAGAGGTTGGGACTGTATGACTCTCCCCTATAAAATATGTGTTTATGAATTTACTGCATATTTTGCAGATTTGAACAATTTCGGGACTAAATAATCAATGAATCTTTTTGCTCATGTACAGTTTACGTGAGAAATATCACTTCACTGTTCAATTACGGATAAGCAAGCAAAATTCAAGTATGTTTATATATTTGAACGGTTAATTTGCATTATTTTAAAGTCCCACAAACGAACACGCTCTACGTTGCCATAGATATCTCATTTGTTAAATTCTCAAAATCTTTTAAATTAATTGGATTAAAATTATTGTAAATATTACATTTATTAATGTAATAATGTTAAATTTAAATCTTTCAAAAAATTTGTAAATATGATATTTAATTAAATATAAAGGAAATAATTTCTTGAGAGTAAAGTAGTCACATTTCCGTATATGGAACATATGCAGAAAAAACTCCATTATATGAAAGTAAATACCTAACAATGTAGGTAAAATATCAAAAAATTAATGCTGAATTGCTAAGCAAGTATGAAAGAAGTTTGGATCCTAGACATTTAAAACATTGAAAAATTATTTATTTTAATGTACAGTACGTTACAAATCGCTTCCTACTAAAACACGGTTTCAGGTATTGAAATGTCCTTATGCCAGATCACTGGTAATGGTATTGATAGTAATATAATGTAACCAATAAATGCAAAGTGTTTTTTTTTTCTTGAAAATAAAATTCTAAAGTATTTTGAATATTGAAGAATTTTGTATAATTTTATTGGTTTTATTCACTATATAACATTAGCAAATATTAGTTCTGTTTAATTTTTAAAATATATATATACTGTATATATATATTTTTTATTATTTTATAGAATGTGGTATTTCACCTAAAAAAGTATCATTAATTATAAATGGTGAAAATACAAAGTTAGGAGATTGGCCTTGGCATGTTGCAATTACCGATCGTAGATTTTTTATATTTTGCGGAGGATCATTAATTTCAGAAGAATGGGTTTTAACAGCAGCGCATTGTTTGGTAGAGTCCAATTCCGCACACCCACAACACAGATCTTATTTTAAAATACTCTTTGGTAGACTTCATCGTAATGTTAATAATAACGAAGCTGAAGAAAGAGACGTAAGTAAACTTAGTTTCAAAAATTAAAATATGTATTTAGATCTTTAATATCTTTTCATATTGGCAACAATTTATATTTATTTATTTATATAAAATTTTAAATAATTTCACATCTTTTACGATTTTTTAAAGTGCCATTTAATTAGGAATAATTTTTAAGTTAGTTTAAATAATTAACTACTAAAAATCATGAAAGCAAAATGTATTTCTTTAACGTAATAAACATAATATGGTGTACAATACGGTAAATAGGATCATTTCTTATTCTTTAATACATATATACTTTTTTCATTTTATTATATTCGAAAAAATTAACATATAATTAAAAATGGAGTTATCATTCCTCTATGCTTACCTTCTCTATTACGAGTTAGGCAGTATGGATAGTCACAACGAAAAAATTCTAAACTACTGTACTTACATGATATTCTGGTGTTTTGTGTCCATAAATTCAATTAAACGTATCATTAATCAGATCTAGAGTTGTGTTTTTACTGTTTTTAAGCGGTTCTTTTAAAATCATTGATCTCATTGTGGGTTTATTCAAATGGTGACTAACGGGCTTGACATATCCAAGTCAGACTACCCATGAAAGGTTCCTATCTAAATTCGATTCCGAATCACCTCAGCGGAAGGCTCATGCTTTTATCATTTCGCCATCTGCCGTTTTGCAATCATTACCTTGATTTACTATGTATTTAATGCATATAATGGTTTGAATGGCTGATCTTACTTGTTAGTTATTCAAATCATTTTACCTTGATGCAGGCTACCACATAGGCCTATCATCTATCGTTTTTCAGCAGACTAGATCCATAATATGAACAACATCTGTAAGATATTTTTCATTCATACGAACGTTTCGATGTGGATGAGAAATGAAGAATGGAACATCGATTAGAATTATGAAAAGTCACGAAAATTGGGAAAGGATTTAAATTCGTATTTTTTACATTGATAGACTGTCGTCTAATATGGATGTAATATGAATGAAGAGGTTCTATCCGTAAGAACTGTTTACATTCTAACGTTTTTTCACATCTTTGCAGACGATAAAAATTTCTGTTATTTTACAATAAATTATAATACAGTTGTTCCTTGATAATCCGACAGGTATGGGACCAAAGGTGTGTCAGATTACCAAAAGTGTCCAAATTACCGAAAATAATTACATATTTCGCATTGTTTTGCTAGCAGTAACTTACAATATTCTCTACTCCAACTGTTCGAACAGAACTGCTCACATAAAACACACGAAATGTGTGTCATCGAGTAAGAATTGGATGGGGAGATTCACATCGCGACATGCTTCTGTGCAAGCAGACACGTAACGGGGACGGGTACCTTGACGGGAGGTGCGTCGGACTACTGAGCATGTCGGATTAAAAAATGTCGGACTATCGAGGGACAACTGTATTTTTGAATTTTAAAAATTTAACTCAATATCTAATTACATTGAATTATAAATTTTGTTATATTCCATTCCATTCTCACATTTTTTTTTCTTGTTATAACGTATTTTTCCTAACTATGAGAATTTATACCATAGTAAAAGTTTTTCTATAGCTTTATATTGACTTTTGGTTCAGCATAGCACTAAAGATTAGTATTAAGTTAACATAGTATAAAACATCTCACCAACACTATAGTAATACTAACAGAAGCAAGTCCATTCATCTTGCTAAATAGAAAGTACAGCAAGATCGTCTTTGCTGCAATGTACAGGTACGTACTGTACGTAGAAAATACTATATATACTATATATTTTTATTTATTTTATTTATTTATATACTTATTGCTGGTGTAAATTAGATCAATACAAAATAAAATTTTAATTCTATCAATGAAAGTATTCTTTAGAATTTTTGAAACTTCAATACTCATACTACAGTAGTTTGATAATCAGGAAAATTTTATATTTCTTAAACTTTGCAAAATTCTGCATTCTACAAAGTTCAAGAAATACGAATGTGTTTTGATGAAAATGTTTAGTAGAAATTTTTTTCTGTTTATAGGTTGAAAGATTAATAATTCATCCTGACTATCAATGGTTAACACAAGATGCTGATATCGCTCTTATTCAAGTTAAGCCCTTGACATTAACTAAATACATTCGACCTGTTTGTTTGACCACATCTGCTATTAGTGATCATAATATTCAGCCTGGAATAAAAGGAGTAGTAAGTATTCTACTATCACATTTAATAATTATTCCTATTAATCATTAACGCGATAGAAAATTGAATTATCATATTTTCATCACCTGAAATTAATAATTAAATTTAAATTAAAATGTTTTTTTTAATTTGAGTTTTTTATATACTATTCTTAATTTAGTATAATTAAAATAAAACATTGAAGGTAATAAAAAATAAAGTAAAACTTAGATGATACAGGAAAATCCTCATTAACTCGTTCGTTTATATCGAAGTGCCTCCATACAGGAACAATTCTAATTTGATCAATATGGCTTTGCTTTTAAAGTAATACATTTTCAGGTGTCACCTTACCGATGGACTACCCTTTTTTCTCTTTTCTCATAAAATACGGCTGGTTTTTGGGATTTCGAGATTGGGCTTCCTACATCTATTTTCCTTTAAATTATTATTTCAGCAACCTAATAGTGCTGCCTATTTTCTATATAATATCAGTCTATTTCCATAAGCTTCTCTCTAACGTCCCTTACTTTTAAACCACCCCGTAATTCTCATCCCAAATCTTATCAGTTAAGGTAACCCCACACATAAACTTGAACACTCCCATTGTTTCCTATAAATACGTAACTTAAATAACACGTCTTGTCAAGAGAAATTGCGAGGTCCAAAACACTGTGTTAACTCTCCAAGACCTCCTCTTTTAAAAATATTGTAAAATACTGTAATTAGAATATTGTAGAATATGTTGCATGATATATCTTGCAATATTTCTTTGCAAATGATGCTATACGAATAAAATGGTATATTTTGCTTATAATGGATTTTTTTATAATTAAGTTGTCAATTTCCTAATTTTATTTTCAGGTTTCTGGTTGGGGCAGAGATGAAACAGGGAGACCTTCAAATGTCCTTAAACAAACAAATTTAACTGTGATATCTAACCATATTTGTAATTTAAAGAATCACATAATTATAACAAGAAATATGTTTTGTGCTGGTGTCACAGATGGTGAGCGTTTAAGAGATACATGTCGCGGCGATAGTGGTGGACCAATGGTGTTTCAGTACGAAACTGATGGAATAATTCGATGGTTTCTGGAAGGTATTGTAAGTTGGGGCACTAGCACGGGATGTGCAACACCCAATAAATTTAGTGGTTTTACAAAAGTCTCAAACTTTATAGTTTGGATTAATTTATATGCGTCATTATAAATATTTATAGGAATGTATTTAGGAAATGTGAAATACTCAAAACAAAACAAATGAAATTCAAGAAATTTTTATATTTTCGATTAAATATTTGAGATTTTATAACTATTTTTGAGAATGTACTAGCATGAAATTTTTGTGAAGCAATCTTCAATGATATAAAGTACTGTATATAGTAAAAGTTCATTATAAATTCTATCAAAATTCAAATTTATTAATTAATGAATTCGCTATGACAGTTTGCTGAAAAATAAACAGTAACTAAATAAAATAAGTAAAATTTATTTTAATATATTTGTTTATTTATCGTTATTATCAATATATTTTGAAATAACATTTAAATTTTTCATATTTTTAACATAAAACATTTACTCTATAAAATCGACCTTAAACATCTTTGTAACATTTAGGAATATTTTTTGGCAGTCGATGGACATATTTTTCATTTTTCATTAAATAATAAAATATTTTCAAGACAACAATTAACAATAACAAATACATTGTGGTTCTGACCTAACCCACGATGGACTTTATTAACAGACCATCTTTATGTCCACAGAGCAGCTAAATTGTTTTTAATGAAAAATATCTTTTAACCTTTCACTGTATTAACTTATAGCACAAAAACTTTATTGAGAATATTAATTTAAATAGCCTATATTTAAAAGCCTTTCTTTAAAATTTGGTATAAGAAATTAAACGCACAAAATAGTTTAATGTATTATATTTAATATTCGATTAGTTCGGTTATCTATCAATAGAGTCGCTGAATAACTAAAATTTTTCGCATAAGATCGCTAGATACTCGTTTTTTGTAATTATTTATATTAATATCTTAATATTAAATCTTATAACCATGTAAAATATATTAATACAATTTTGTAAACTTTAAAAATAATTTTTAAAATAACAATATTTTAAATTAAATTTTTATTCGTGAACATATTTATTTTCATCAGATGGCGCTAGTATATTTCCTCTCTTTTTCACTCGTGGGAAGTAAGTAATGTAGTATATCGCGGGAAGTCATAAATAATTCTATTTATATATATATAAAATAATGTAATTTATATTTCTTTATGAGCTGAACGTAAATTGATTTGTTTGTATTTTGTTATGCGTTTTGAATCGAACAATGGAATAAACAAAATTGATCTTTGTACTGTACTTAATTAAAGAATATTATTTTGTTTAATAATTTAATTAGTAAAAACATATGTAGAATTTTGGTAGGAGTGTTAATTTTAGATAATTTGCATGTTTATAAACATACAAACGTAACTTATGTCGAACGTTTATGTGAATATTATTCAGAATTGTCTAAATATACAAAATTTTGGGTGTCTAATTTTATATTATTTTTTATTATTATGTTAAGTATAATTATATTATGTATAAGTATATTTATATTATGTTTATTATGTTTTTATCTATTATACATAGATAAAAACATAATAAACTTACTTTAAAAATGTATTCTGATCTTACAACTTAATTGCTTTTTCAAATAGTCAAGATTCTTGTTTTTAAATTAATAAAAGCATGTTTTTATTAGTAAATTTAAAATATTTTGCTGTAAGAAAGTACTTCTTACTTTAATATTTAATGCATTGAAGAGTAAGCAAATCAATTAAAATAAATTATTTTGCTAGAAAATTCATTTGTGAATATTAGCAATGAAAAACTTATCACATTTAATATCCATTGAGCATTGTGGTAGGAAAATTAAGCAATATTTTTGGATTATGTGAGAAGAAACAAAGTTATTTCACTCTAGATGCATAAAAATAAATGATATGAATCATGCAATAGCTCTTCAATAATGTATTGAAGAGCTACAAAATATGTATATGTAATAAAAAATTTCTCAAAAATTTTATTTATTTAACTAGAAATTTTAGAGTTTATTTTTTCTTCTAAAATTTTAATAAATTATACATCTTTATTTTAGTTATATACTGTTTATAGTAAAGTAATAAAAGAGTTCTGTATTGTATTGCTAGATAAAGTCTGAATGAATAAAAGCAAAATTATTTTAAAAATTTTTATTGTTATAAAAATTTTATATTGTTGAATGTATAAGTACAAAAATATTTATTATAATAAAGAAATTTGTAATTCTTTATAAGAAAAAGACATTGAAAAAACAATCGAAGTACAGTATTTATTTGATTTTACAAATTTGTTTAATAATAATAGATATATATAAAATTTTAATCTATTAAATATTATTGAAAGTATGAGTACATATGATTTAGATGTTTTGAATTATAATAAATAATATTTATCATAAATGCTTTTACAAGATTTTATTTAATTTTTTCCAATTACAGTTTTAATTACTTCAATTTTAAAGTATTTTTTTTATTTTTTTAAAGTTTCTAAAACTTTTAAGTGACATATATTAGAAATGGCATCACGAGGACAGTCAGAAACAGATAGATTAAAACATAATCTGGAAGAACAGCTTGAAAGATTAGTTCAGCAACTAGCAGATTTAGAAGAATGTAGGTAAGTTATTTATTAAAGTAATAAAACTATAAAAAATTTTATAATTGTAAAGTGAAATTTTTTGAAATTTAAAATCAATTTTATATGTAATTAGTTTTGTATACTAAATTCCTGTTTTAAATAGGGATGAAATGGATCAAGATGAATATGAAGAGACCAGAAATGAATCTATGGAGCAATTAAGAGAGTTTAATAACTCTTTAAGTAATATTGCAGCTGGAAATATGACTTTAGTTGATGAATTAGGTAGTATGCAATTGGTAAGTATTGATTAAAACAGACTTGATTTAATTTTATATCTTTTACTAGCTGGGGTACCCGGCTTCGCTCAGGGAATTGATATGAGATTGTGTGGTAGTTAGAATAAAAGGATAAAATAAAAGGATAAACTTTAAAATATAAGAGAGAAAAAAATTTTATTGAAAACATATTCTAACTATTTACAATACTTGTTTATAAACAACATTTTTCATTTTGTTATCCGGGGTATATATGTACAAATTTTTCGAATTTCCTATATGAGAGCAAGCTACATATAGTTGACCATGAGAGAAGCAGGAGTCTTTGAGGTTGATGCCGCAATGTTTTAAAGTGTGTCCTTGTGCTTTGTTAATTGTATAAAATATAAATCAAATCAACTTTTTATTAACAAATACACTAAGTACACTTTAAACAGTTTTCACATTTTATTTTTGATTTATATTCAGTCACTGTATCACTTTGAATACTCACACTTCACTGTTTGTTTTTATTCACTCACTGCACTACTTTGGAATTTTCACTTCTTTTTGGCTTTCCCCTTTGTCACTGATAAGAAACTGACGTTCAAACCCACAACGGATCTTGCTTTATATACCCCCACCAATTGGTAGTCCCACACATATAAAAAAGGCTTCGAATGGTCCACAATGTTCCAGAACATTCCACAACATTCAAGAGTGTTCTGGAATGTTCCACAATGATCTGGGATGTTCCTGAACATTCCAGAACATCCTGAAACATTCTGGAATGTTATGGAATACTCTCGAATGTTCTGGACTGAAATTTCTAGAGGGCGAAACTTTCAGCCCTTATATCTTCAACAGCATGCCCTTTAGGTAAAAATGGGAACCTTCTTCATGGATGGGGAATAGAGGGCTACTACATCATATAACTTTTTTCATCGTACCAGGACTCATTTTTGAGTTTTAGTGGCATGCACATTGTACACTTACCATTATAATATATATTGATTAATGTATGAATTATAATAAATTATATTTATATATCTAGATATTGATAGTTACATTTAATTATATATCATATGTGTAAATAGCATATTCTATTAAATATTAACACTGACTAAAATATTATATTTTAAGATAGTAAATGAAACTGATAATTTAAAAAATGTTTATTTCAAGTAAAAAATTCTTTTGTTTAGTTAATGAATAATTATTTATATTTATTCAAAATTATATACAGAATTATTCAAAACAAATCTTAAGTTTTATATATTTTATATTTTCATACAGTATGTTGAATTTTTATACATTGTTGGTTATCTTAAGTCAATATTTAAAATTACATTAGCAAAATGATTTGATGATACAGATATACCTCGAGTTATGTTGTTCTCTATTATACGTCATTTGTCAAAAATATATATGAAAAATAAAAATCAAGTTTAAGTTATTTTATTCAACTTTATGTCTGTCCGCCACAAATATTGAAATCGTAATATCACTACAAGAGTGTTAAAAGCACATAAAATCATATTAAAATACATACATTTACAGTAAATGTTAATATAATCATCATAAATCATAGAGAACGAAATATGAAAACATCTGTGACTCTGTGTTATCTTATTTAGTGGTCTTTAAGAGCTCAGTATTGGCATTTTCCACAGTAGTTCCAATATCTACTGTTTGGCGTCATTGCAAGTGTCACTCGTTATTGGTAAATTTAACATAAATTAGTTTATTTTTTACTATCGCAAAATAATTTTAATAACTGTATTTGCTATTTAACCTTACAAAATCATCTTATTTTATAATGGCTTAGAGCAAACCACATTCACAAATAAAGAGTTTGCGATGTACTATGAACATCACCAAATTGTAAACATGTATATTTACAAGTATATATTGTGCATATATTCGTAAATTTAGATTACTTTTTTCTGTACTATATTAAAAACTAAAATTTATTTGACAAACAAATTTTATTTGTAAGCTTAAAATAAATTCTTATTAATCATATATTATTAAAAATGCATTTATAAATAAAATACAAAACTGGGAATGGTTATTTTTGGTTTAGCCTAGTGACAAGTAAATTTGACTTACGTCACTTTTCAACTTAAGTCACCTATCCTGGAACCAATTGCCGATGTAAGGTGAAGTATACCTGTATACAGAAATAAATCATTATTAAAATTAATTGGTAATTAGCATACTCTATGAGTGACATACTATACTATATATTTTTATTTTTATTATAAATGACTGAATTGATAATATTCTTTGAAAACTGCAAAATGCTTTTTTGTTTAAGTCCAGCAACAAAAAATTTAGATTTTATCTGTGATGTATTTGGTGTTATTGTACCATCCAGTTAAGTGCTAGAACTCTTGGTTTCTTTACTTTAGTTGGTTCTCAGTTCTGTAATTCTGTTCTTAGTTCTGTAAAACTCAGTTCTGTAATTCTTAAATAGCTTAACTACATGAAAATTGTTTTTTTATTAATTTCACATTGATAATTTTCATACCATGATTTATTGTAGTTATTAAAATTTTTAAGGAGTCAGGATATTTATTAGGATTAAGCACTTTACAGAACTTCAGTACCATCTCAAATCAACACTCAATGTTCTGACAATTAGAACACAACTGTTCATACATAACTTTTTCTGAATAAATATCCTCACTTTGTTAATACTTCGGAGTTTTTTCACTTATATCCATGGAGTTGTCTTGTCTAGTTTTGAATTAAAAGTTTTTATAATGAATTATCTAATTTTATTTTCTATTTTTAAAATTTTATAGTGATTATTTTATATTCTATTTTTAATTTTATTACATTGTAATTAAACATTATTGTTTACATTATGAAAAACTATTATTATGACTGCCTAAATTAATAAAATGAAAAATCAAAACTTTAAGCTTTTTTTTCAAATTATCAATATATCGTTAAATAAAAAATCTTTTTAATATAGATGATGAATTAGTGTGACACAGGGCAAAAAAGAATGCAAATAATATAAAATTAAAATTTAAATCTTTATATAAATAACTGCAAGGTATAAATTTGTTATAAGTAAGTTTGTTAATCACAGTGGATTAGAAAAATGTTAGGATGATTAATAATTGCTGGTGACAAATGTGATATGATTGCTTATTCAAATGTTAGAAAATAAACTAAAAGTGTTTCTGTGTGATTTGTTTCTCAATGGCAACCTTATGCTAAGAAAATACATATAATAAAGAGAACAGCAAGCAACCAAGATCTATGAATAAATACAACTTTTAAATTTATTAAAATAAAAATTTTAAGAAATTAAATATTAATATAAAAATACATTCATTGTTAAAGTTAATTAAAAGGTTTATATGTAAAAAATAGAAAGATAAATATGTTAAAAATAGTACTTACACTTTTACAAAACTTTTTAAAGTTGAAATGTTAAGATCTTTTCAGGCTATTCAAGCAGCTATTAGTAAGGCATTTAAAACTCCTGAAGTTATTCGTATGTTTGCAAAAAAACAACCGGGACAATTAAGACAGAGAATGGCTGAGGTAAGTATTGAATATATTATTATATTTGTATCAAATTTAAAATTTGTGTATGTTATCAATGTCTAAAATTTGCAAAATTTTAATATATAGGTAAATATTAGGTTGAGTACTAAGTCTGCATTTTTTCTGTTCATTTTAACATTCTATTTAACTTACAAATACAAACAATTAATCATTTATGTGATCCATTTTGTTGTATCACTAGTTGCCATCTTTCTCAATTCCTCTTCTGAAAAAATCCTCAGATTTTGAGGCAATATATTTCACAATAGTATTTTTGACTTCATCAGTTCGACCAAACTTTTTTTTATTTAAATAATTCTGTAAAGATCTAAACAAATAATAATCTGAGGGTGCCAAATCTGGAGAATGTGGCAGATGAGGCATAACTTCCCACTGTAATTCTCTTATTTTCTAGGGTTACTTTGGCAATGTGTGGTCTTGCATTGTCATGATGCAGTATAATGCTCTTGCAGTTTACTAGCACTGGTCTTTTGTCCTTTAATGCTTTGCTTAAACAATCTAATTGTTCACAATGTGTGTTGGTATTTATGGTTTGGTTCCAATCTAGTAGTTCATAATACACTATTCCTTTCATATCCCACCATATGCACAACATTACTTTTTTTGGGCACAGTCCACTTTTTGGTGTGAATGTTGAGGGAATGTTGGATTTAGCCACAATTGTTTGTGTTCAATATTAGTGTGTAATATTCCTTTTTCATCTCTAGTAATTACTCAATCTAAAAATGGATCTCTCTTTTGACAATAAAATATTAATCCAGCAATACTTAATTGTTGTGCAAGATCAGTTTCTGTTAACTTGTGCAAAACCCACACATCTAACTTAGGAACTTTTTCAAGTCTTTTAAGATGGTTGCTTTTTTTGGCTTACATTTAGTTTTATAGCCAATTCTGTTATGGTAGCTGTTGGATTGGCTTCAACCAGAGCCTTTTAGATTATCATTATTGACTTTGCCTGGCCGACCAGAGCGCTCATCTTTCAAGCTAAAATCTCCTTTCTGAAACTTAGCAAACCAAAACTGAGCTTTTCTCACCTTTAAAGTGTCAGTGCCATAAACTTAGTAAATTTCTGATGTTGCCTTAGTTGAATTTAAATGTTTTTGGAAACAAAAAGCAAAACATGCCTCAGATGAACATTATCCTCTTTCATTTTAGAGAACTAAAATGTCCACAAAATAAGATTAAAACTATTCAGGTCTTTCTAAGTTAAAATATTCAAAATATGAATGAAATTAAAAATAAATGGCTGTTTTTCATGATATTAAAGAACAATTTATTTTTTTTATTGTATTGAAATTATATAAGGCTTTCAATTTTTATGCAAAAAAAAAAGAATTGATGTTTTCTAAAGCTACAAATAGAAGTTGTCTAATAGAGCTATCAATTTTTTATTATATGACATTGAAATTTACTTAATTTGATTGTCAAAGTTTATTGCACTATTGAAAATTGCAATCTAAAATATAATCTATTATGAGGAATACTTCAAATATCTAAAGTAGATATAAATATATATATATATATATATTATATATCAGAATTATATCCAAATATAACATTATATGGAATAAAAGGAGTAGTAAGTATTCTACTATCACATTTAATNATATATTTCCTCAAAATTAGAAATCATTGCTTTATCACATGTTTATTTTTTATTTAGCATTTAAAAAATAAAACTATGTATATTTTTAATATGAAACTCTTAATATAGAACTTATTTTATCATAAATTTGTGGTATATGTATATATCATTATTCTATGATATCAAAAGAAAATTCCTTATTCTTTTAATTATAATCTTAAATTTAAATAAACTATAGTCTTCATTGTTTGTCATAGCAAAATTTTATACTTCCTTATTTTTTATTTTTTAAAGTTGTACATATTAATTATTAGATTATCTAAAACAGGCATGGGCATGAAGTCAATCAAAAGCAAATTTTGGGATGACCACCACCTATTTTATTTGATGGCTCTTTAGAATCTGCATAAGTTTATATGATTTCACATTAAAATAATATTTTATATTGACTGTATCTTGTACTTTGATATTTTATAATAACAAATACATTATTTATAATTATTATTATCAAAGCTGGTGTTTTTTCTTTCTTTATTTTTTCAACCCTCTTTTAGTTGTTAGGTGACCACGTGACTTGGAACATATTATCGGCAGCCCTTATCTTACAAAAATCTACCTATTCTTGACCTAAAATATATTTTTGATGAAGTAAACATTTTCAAGCATTATGAATATAATGTTACCATATGAGATTCAGAAGGATTAATTTACCTGATTTTTTTTTAACTATAAATTTAGTCTTTCATTGTTATTGTGATTATATCTTCTTTAATTCTATGCATATTTTTTATTCAAACATATTTTGAAATTAATCTATCTTGCTTTTTCTTCCTTCTATGTAATATATGTAGGTAATAATAAAATATTTTTAGTAATTAACAAAAGCATAATTTTATAAACAAAATGTTAATTTTGATTTTTAAATTTTGAACCAAAACACTCAAATTTTGCAGTTCTCTTTAACTTTATACTTTTAACAACTCATAAAAGAATGAATGCATCAATTTAACAATAATTATTAAATTATTTATAAGTATATCAAAAATCCTGAAACCTGATTGATATATATGTAAAATTAGTGTTAAATTGATATTGAATTATACTGTTATATACTACTTTGTCTGATGAAAAGAACTAAAATGTTGAAAACAAGATTTAAATATTTTTAAGAATCAAAATAAAATGATTATTTTATGATGTTATTAAATTACATATTTATAAAGTTTAAAAAAATTTGATTTGTTAATTGTGTTATTGNTTAATATTAATAAGAGATGGCGCCTAACGCTTACCTCTAGTGCCAAATTAATTACGTAATTTATTTAGTAATTAGCCTTAAAACTAGCCCGATGGATTTACGGCATATGTTTGGTGATTAGCTATATTACATCGGGTTTAGCGATGGTTAACATTAACAGTATTAATATCAGTTATAATCTGAACAACAAATTGTTCTGATACTTAATGTGTTTTATGGAGAAAGTCAAAAGATTTATTTTATTTATTTTAATTACATATAAGAAATATCCAAGGACAAAAGATTTCCACCCCAAGATCAACAAAATAACCCAAATAAAAATTTAAAGATACAGATAGTTCAAACAAGATATAATAATAATTATGAATTATATAGCATATTTTTACAAAATTTTTATATCATGAATAATAAAGATGAAGCATATGCTCTATATTAATCAAACTATTAGTTACGTGATTAAAAAAAAACTATGAATTATATTTAAGAAATAAAATAATACATAAATACACGATAAGTTACAGGTATTTCTAAGAGGTACTCTGAAGTACAGTACATCCAATCATAAAATATAACCATGAAAATATTTTAAAAAGTAAATAATCAAAGTATTTAGCCTCCCCATTTGTAATGAAAGAATTAATCTAACCCTAGCAATCTTTGGTTAACTAGTATATAATAAATGACAGAACTTATTTAATAACAAATTTTTTTTAGTTCTTGAGAAATTTTGTTAGTCAGTAATGGAGCAGCCATAGATGAAATAAATAAACAATAATCAATGTGTAATTCCAAATTAATGAAGAAAATAGATCAAAGAATGTTTTTGGAAAAAATGTTGCAACAAAAATGCCACAATGGATTGTTAACAGATTATATATTGTAAAGAATTATTGCCAATAACAAAGATGGCTAATAAGAGTCTTGGAGAAGAGAAAAATACACAATAACAATTTTATTAAGATTATATTTTCCAAACAAAACTGACAAACAATTTAAATTGGATTGAAGGGCAACAAGATCATGATAAGCTTGATATCATCTGTGTATGTAATTACTGTACATTTAATTTGAGCAAGCAAATTATTAAGAATTATTATTATTTCAAGAGAAGAATAAAATATAGAGAAACATAATATTCAAATAATAATTTTTTATTGTAAATAAAACAAAGTAAAAATAAACTGTTAATTCATGTTTTGTTTCATATAATTTTTATATGGAAAATTTTTTTTTTTTTATAATTTCCACATTGATCTTTGAAATTATTTAGAGTGTGTTTGTGTTTAAATTGTTTCAATTTGAAATATCAGAATGAACTATTTTCTGGTGAATTATTCAGATCAAATGGCAAAAATAAAGGACAAAAAGTAAACTTATTCTTACTTTTCAAAAATACTTTATAAAAGTTTAAGAAAAATAATTTTTATAAATATCAAATGATTTGATTTTGAAAATTAATTTTTAAATTAGCTAAATATTTGATGAAGTAACAAAACAATGCTGTTGTCATTTGATCAATTATTTTATTAAAATGTTTTAAAATTTTGAATTAATAAAATTTGAAATAAAGTTATATATAAATATATTTAAACAAGTATATTAAAAACAAACAAGTACTGTACATTCAAAAATACTTTTAGTTCTATTTAGTTAAATTTAAAAGGAAGTAAAAACACATTGAGTGCAGCATTGAGTTTTTTATTTTCGCTAGCACTTTCAATGTTCATCATCATCATCATCAGGTTAATGAAAATTTAAAAATAGAATGCAATGTTCTAATGTAAATAGAACACATTATTTAAATTTAAATTAAAAACCATTATGAGCATGCTACAAAATTCAGTTACACTAGATGTTGTTACATCATACAGTGCATGCATGGATATAGATCCACATTAAAGATGTTATGGCAGACATATATGACTATCAAATGAGATATCTCAAGTCATATGATTATTTTACTTTGTTAATAGTGGTGTAAAATGATAGTAAATTATCTCATATTTTTAGCTTTGGTGGCCACTGTGTGTTTCCTGCAAGCCAAGAAAAAGTATATGAAATATCTTTAGTAATATAGAGTATACATCAATAGATTCATAATTTCAATAATTCAGTGAAACAATTGTCATATTCTTACATAAATAAAAAAATTTTAATTTTAAAATCCCAGAATATCAAACCACAAATGAAATAATTGCTCTTTCTTGCACATTCTCGCACATTCTCAGTTGTGTTCAAGTGCCTCACAATAGTCACATAAAAACTCCAAATCTGAGAGTCATTGAAAAGTCTATCTACTTATAGTCAAAGATTTAATATAGGATGATATTAAAGTGATGTTTATTTTGTACATAGTCTCTTCGATTAATATTAGCAAATAGCAAAAACATTAATATTTACAAAAATATTTAATTTCAGTAATTTTTAAAAGTCAAATTATAATGAAATCTATAATTTTAATTTATTTCATAAGTCATTTTATTTTTCAGTATATGGTTTTAAATGAAATTTATACCTGAAATGTTTTCTATTTTTTGTAGTTGGAAAGAGATGCTAAGATTGGTAAAATCAGTCAAGATTGCTTTATACAACAGAAATTGGAAATTCTTGCAGCATTAAAAAAGTTAGGAGATTCATTAGATGCTGCTGAATTGAATTTGCTTGAAGAACATTCTTCCAGTGCATTGAAAGAATTTGAAAAAGTCACTAATGACATTGGTAAGTAATTATTTGAGCATTTGTTGTTATAATAAGAAACAAATAATTACTAAATTTAATAAATATAGTTAAAAATTTTTAGAATACAAAAAAAAAAGCACAAAAAACTATATCAGTCTTATTAACATAGAAATAATAATTAGATATTGAAGTTTGATTTTTAGTTTTGTTTAGTGGACTTTTCAGAAATTTAAAGAAATTATTTTTCTTTAGTAACAAATATTTTTAATCATCTGTGCTTTGTTAAATAATTTCTTTGAAAACTATTGATGTGTTGTTTTAATTAAGAAACTTAAAATTCTGTGTTTCTTAGATTGTTACAGATGAATAAAATTTTGTTTCTGTTCTGATAGTGATGCACACATAACTAACACGTTCAAAAAGCTATCATCTCTATGATCGGGAGTAGAGGCATTGCATATGAGCAAGAGAGTATTTTATATCATTGTAAAACCTATTCAGTCACAATAAATGTGGAATGAAGCATAGAGAACTGCAACTGTTCTCTTTTTCTATGAAAGACAAGTGTATTATTCATACATGTATTCACAGTAGCAGTTTAATGTTTCTTGATTTCATCATGTGACATTATTTTGCGGTGGATTAAGTTTGAAGTTAATAATATAACAAACATAGCATATGGTGCTCCAAGAATGTTATTAAAAAACATTTAGATACCGTGTTTCCCCGAATATAAGACAGTGTCTTATATTAATTTTTGCTCTGAAAAATGCGCTAGGTCTTATTTTCAGGGAATGTCTTATTTTTTCCAGGAAGAAGAATTCACATTTATTATTGAACAAAAAAATTCCCAAGTCGAANAAATCTACGGCACGGACCTGGACTAAGTGGTTAAGATTTAAAGAGTAAAGAATATTTTATGTTATTTTTATGTACGTTTCATTACAAAGCTATATTTAATTATAATTTTAAACTGGATGATCTTGAACATAGCTGTGTTACTTTTCGTGGGTCGTTTACATGTATCTCTCAGGAGTAGGAGACTCTAAAGTAGGGCGAATACTGACTAGCAGTATATTTCTAAATATTTTGCAAATTTATTTCTTTTTATTGCGATTTCCGACCCCCGACTTAATTAAACATATATATAAAAAATCTATTAATTCCAAAAATTAAAAAACTATTGGATGTCACTTTGACATCCGAAAGTAGCTTTAAATAACTTTACTGAAGTAAAATTCCTGCACTAGAACTTTGATATCAAATTTCATTCATCGTTCTAAACTCCCATAAAAAACAATTAGGCGTTAATCGCGCGTCATTAAACATTAATTAAAACCTGTATAAAATTTTTTCGCGCGGGTAAAACCTTTTGAAAAAATTTTAGTGATAAAAAACATTTCAAAAAAATTCGCGCGTTTTTTTTTCTATTTGAGCTTTCCAAGCATGAGATGTACATCGGTGAAAACTATATCACTTATTGGTTTTTATTTGTTTTATTAACATCAGAAATGTCGCAAGTTCGAAAAAAATTATCAGGAGCACAAAACTTGAAGCGAAAAAAACAAAGAGAAGCTAATAACGAAAAAAGCGCCCAACAGCTAGCCAAATATCTTAAAATTGAAGAAAAACCGTGTTCAAGTCAACCAACAGACGACTGCATAATTACTTCAGAGAATATTCCAGATAATGTGGCGGAGATTCAGCATATACCCGATGTAGAAACATCTAATGCTACTCCATTGGCTGCAGAAGTAACAGCCATATCAACGACCACAGAAATATCTGTAGATATCGCTCAATGGCCGTCGTCTTTGTCATTCAAAACAATAGACCTTATCATATTGCAGGGCCCACATAACGGTAAACTGGCAGATAAAGATTATCCACGGAATAAAAAAGGGCGCCATTTTTCTAATGTGCACTTTCAACGAGTCATGTCAAACGGTGAAATTTATGATCGGAAATGGTTGATATATTCAAATTCTACACAGAAGATTTATTGTTTTTGCTGCTATATATTTAAGCGGTCTAAACCTTGTAAACTCTGTAACGCCGGCTTTGACGATTGGTCACATGTATCTCTGGTACTAAAGAACCATGAAAGTTCAGACGACCACCAGTCAGCTTTATCAATTTGGCTCGAAACTTCAAAAAGATTAAGGACATGTTCTGGAATTGACAAAGCCCTTCAAATGCGACTGGAAATTGATAAATGTAGATGGTCTTCTGTGCTGGAAAGAATAGTAGCAATCACACTTTTTTTGGCGGAACACAATCTATCTTTTCGTGGCAGCAGTGACAAATTAAATACACCAAAGAATGGCAACTTTCTAGGTTTAGTCCAATTATTGGGAAAATTTGATCCAGTCATGACAGAGCATTTGCGACGGATAATGCACAAGGAAACCAACCAATCACTACTATTTCAGTAAAAATATACAAAACGAAGTAATACATTTATTAGGAAACGAAATCAGAGAGCAGATCATATCAAAAATTAAAAAGCTAAATATTTCTCGATTTTAGATTGTACACCCGATATAAGTCACACCGAACAAATGAGCGTCACATTTAGGTTTTTTGATGTTGATGAATTTTGTGTGCGTGAGTGCTTTTTGACTTATAAACCTGTGACAGACTCCAGCGGAAAAGGGCTAACAGGCATATTTTTGGACGAAATTGTCGATAAATACAACATTGATATGAATGATTGTAGAGGACAAGGTTATGACAATGGAGCTAATATGGTTGGACAACAAAAAGGAGTTCAGAGTCGCATAACTGAAAAGTTTTCCCGAGCTTTTTTTAATCCTTGTGGTTGCCACAATCTCAACCTTGTTGTGGCTGATGCAGTTAAAACTTCAGTCAAATCAGTTTCATTATTTGGTATCCTCCAGCGCTTGTTTGTGTTTTTTTCAAACTCAACAAAGAGATGGGAAGTTATTTCGAAACATGTGAAGAGCTTAACTTTAAAAAAGGTGTGTGAAACAAGATGGGAAAGTAGAGTCAACAGCTTGCAAGCGATGCGGTATCAGTACGCCGAAGTAAAAAGTACATTGGAAGAAGAATATCGACAGTCAACTGATCCCGTGGCAAGTTCAGAAGCTAAATCGCTTGCAGATAATTTGGAGAAGTTCGAGTTTTTGCTGTCGTTAGTCATTTGGCACGACGTTTTATTCCACGTCAATCTTGTCAGCAAATCCATGCAGTCAGAGCGGGTACACCTGTCAGATGCAACAGAAATGATGCACAAATGTTTGAAATTTTTGAAAGAATATAGAGACGAAGGATTAATAAAGGCTCTCATTGCAGCTAAGGACATAGCTGAAGAAGCTGAAATAAGCCCAGAGTTTGAAACAATCCGCGCACGAAAAAAGAAGAAAATGTTCCCATGTGAAAATGAAGATAACGCGCCAATGGATCCAGAAACGTTACTCAGAACAAATGTTTTCTATCCTATGTTAGACACTGCTATAAACTCAATAGAGACACGCTTCACACAACTTACTACAATTAATGATACTTGGTCTTTCCTTTATGATTTGAATAAGACCGATGAAAATTTGAAAGAAGCTTGCCTGAGGTTGGGGGAAAAACTAACGCATGATCATAATTGCGATATTTCGGGATTGGAGCTTTCAAGAGAAATCGTGTGTTTAAAACAGTTTTTAGATATTGATAAAGGCCACCCGAAAGCAGTCCTTCAGATCTTAGCGTTAAATGATTGGCAAGATACATTTCCTAATATTTGGACAGCTCCCCGGATTTTTGTAACTATTCCGGTTACGGTGGCCAAAGGTGAACGGAGTTTTAGCAAGCTTAAGCTAATTAATTAAAACGTACCTTAGGTCAACTCTTGCAGAAAATAAGCTTTCTGATCTAGCCTTGCTGTCCATTGAAAATGATATAGCTCAGACATTATCGTATGAGGAGATCATAAAAAAAAATTTGCAAATGCAAAAGTGCGTATGCAGCTATTTAATTAAAATTTCTTCTCCAGGTGATATAAATAGTTTACTATTATTGTTATTATTAGGAGCCTGTAGCCTAAATAGTTAAGAATTTTATAAGTATCGTTACATTAATTAGTGAACATAATAAATAAGTACCAGAACCAAAGTTGATTATGCTTATTGATCTTATCAATGAATGTTGACTGAATTTCTTTTACTAGTAAATAAAATAATTTTTAAAATAACTGATCTTGTGGTGACCGAGAGGGGAAGAAATTTAAAAACGATATATTGACGATAATATGCGATATTTATCGTCATCGTCTCCTTGCCGTTTGGATTGCCGAGCGGTAACAATCAACGACATGTGGAAGCAGTTGAGTCAGAGATTGATGCCTCGTTTACAACAACACAACCCGTTTATTAAACACGAAAGAAGCTTACAAAATTTCCGTGATCTTGGAAGTTCTACTTCAGCTGCGGCCTCGGGGTCTTTCTCTCCTTTCCAAGATTGTCCCATTGGGAATGAGTGTCCTTGGTTCGTGAATGACCAATTCCATCGACGTCTCCGGACGAAGAGGTCGACTTCCGTTGATGGAAAGATGTCGATCCGAGGTCGGGAGATGGAGACGAAGATGGATTGGAGACACACACACTACATTAGATCCGTCACT